GGATAATTTTCCTTCAAAAGCTCTGCGTAGACTTGAATATTCACAGTATGATTATTTGGAGGTCGTGAGATGCAGTCTGGTGTGACGTAGGTTTTAGAAAAACATTTTCTTTATCGTGCCAACGTTTCGATCTTTATTGAGATCATCTTCATGGCCTGGGATTTATAAACATTGTTTCAATTTTATAAATATATGTAGGATGTGAAAAAAACATTCACAGAATGTTGAAGAATCGGGGCCGATTATTTTGATAGTTAAAACACTATACTTTTGTGTGTGGTTATGTTTAATCAGTAATGGCAGTTGTGGCGGTTTTATACTTTACTAATAAAAACATCTTCATCGGGAACAAAGTTTTTCAGAAGGGGGTACCTCACCTGACTTCACTCCTGCGTATCTGTAAACCCCTGACCTTCTTCAGAAAACAATATAGAATGAAAACGAGTTCGATTCTGGTGTCCATGGAAATAGATATTTGAATATGGAAATTAACGTACACTTCATGTCACACATATCGCAATCCTTCAAATGTTAGTATTAACAACCAGTGTCCTGAAGCAAGGATGATTGGTAGTCAATGCGTCAGTAGAGTAGACCTGCCCACAGCACGATAATTCCATTTAACTCACCAAAAAATTATACAGCATCGACTATTTGCTGAATGGTAAAGATCCACAGCAATAAAATTTAAATGAACCTGTACACTGCAAAAGTGCTCAAACACTACGATGAATTAATAGCAGCAAATTTACTGTTAATTCTATTCGGTATATAACATAATACAAACATCAAAGAAAAATAAGTAAATTGTGAGATTCCTCTTGTGGTCTGCTGGTTAAAAAAGCTTAAGGTTCCATAGTTACCTATCATCTTGGTTGCCTAACCTCGCTGATTTTTGTGGGTTCAGNCTCTCTCTCTCTCTCTCTCTCTCTCTCTCTCTCTCTCTCTCTCTTTTGTATCAAAAAACTTAACAGCTTTATTTTTATGAGTATTATTATATCAATATGGATATCAAAACGCTTGGTTTAGCCTGGGCGGTACAATAAATGTAAAATAAGCACAGGTACTTTTTTGGCAAAACCTGATGCTCCATGTACCATTTAATTTTGTACTTCAGAAATGCCAATCTCCGGTTGCAAAAATTGTTCTGCATATTGTCTCAACGGGCAACCAGTTTGTGCCATTAAAGTTGATAATTGTAGATAAAGGGCACAATGGTAGCAACAGGTTGCAGGAGATTATATTCTAAATGTCTTAATTAATTTTAATATCCATAGTATTACCATGTTGATAAGCTTTTTCTCTTGCCAGCTCTCTGTAACTTGCTTCTTTACATTTCTCAAAAACGAAAATATTTTGTCAAGTTATTTCTTGACGATATTACGCCGAAGTATATAAAGATCTCGCAATCCCGCAACTAAGCTTCTAGCAGTTCATATTGGTCGGTTATTCATGTCCTTATTTTTATATATAATGTACGACGTGTAGAGAACATAAATATTGAACTACACCGTAGGATTTCATTAATTAAAGACTCTAATTGAAGAAGGTCATTGAATAAGTTTTTTAGTACTGTTTATGTTTTAATCGTGTTTATTGTTGGAACCATGGTTAATAAAACCGTCTTCACATATAATAATCCAGCAGAACGGCTGGGTTGAATAAAGTGAATATTGGATCTATTCTTGTGCCATCATGGTTTACAATTCAGGAGGGTTTGGGATAAGCAGTAGGAAGGGCTTAGAGAGGTATGGAGGTGATTGTCATATTGCCGAGGATTTGCATTGCAAAGTGGCATTAAAGCCGCCTCCCAAACTAAGCTACTTTCCCAAACCACCTACCGGGGATTATTCCGCAGCTCTGATTCGAAAACAACGCCTGGTTGAAAATCAATTCGCGCTTACACGTTGTCACGTGTCCGTATAGAAAATGTTTAATTTTGAGAGTAGGCATTTGTTCCCGAGCCGACGGAACCCCTAGGGATTAATTAATTTTTAAAAAAGGGGATTATTTGGAGTTCGTGAGATGTGGTCTTGTATGATGTAGGTTAAGAAAAATGTTTTCTTTATTGTCCCAACGTTTCGATCTTTATTTAGATCATCTTCAGAGCCTTGCTTTGCCCGCATTTTAACAACCTTGTCTCTGATTGATGGTAGACGCTGGTTTCTTTTCAGTAGAAGCGATATCCTTCAGAATTCTCTTTACTTGTTGTCCATGTTTCGCTCTTCTCGTGTATAAATGTGTAATATTTAATGACCGTGTGACGAGACCAAAATAAAAGATAATCAAAATAAGAACGGTACACTCTTTATTGATAAAAAATTACAATTTGAATTGAACGAAAAATAAACTCTGATGTATGTGTCCAGAATAGAACAATTAAAATTAAAATTTACTTACAAAAAAATAATAAATCTTTCGAGATGAATAAGAGTAAGGAAGATTCGTTTGAACACGCTCAGCCAATATCCGAACAACAACAACCATATCTTTCCTGTCCTTCCTCAACCTTAGGGTCTCCCCACTCGAACATATTATCGTCACAGCTGTTAATTAATGAATATTTTTTAAAAAATTAGGGTCGAAGAGAGTCGAAGTGTCGCATTAGCTTCAGCCCTCAGATAAATATTGTCAAGGAAAATATTCATATTTTTGTGGTTTTGGATATGCTTGAAAAGGTACATTCTGTTCTATTTGCTTGCCGTAGATCAATGGCGTTTCTTTTATTCGTTTATATCTAGGTTAGCAATTTATGGTATGCTATTATTATTTATGCTATGGTTTAGCAATGACTTTATAAAAAAAATAATTCAATATTATACTGCTTGTTTTTTCTATCATTTCTTGCATTTATGTCATGAAACATTGGTGTCGCCAGTGAATCTAGAAGATAGCTTATAGATCACGTATACTACATTGAAATCAATACCTATCGTAAATGAATATAATTTTCTTATCGCCCCCTGCCTAAAGTCCTGGCTTACTACTTCTTTCGGACATTGCCTCACTCTTATACGACAATGGGTACATTTAGTCATAAAGCTGAAACCTTAAGGTTGGAACCTTTGTTTAAAGCAAGGTTTAAAGCAAGCTAACATAATCGGAAATAACCTGCTCAATCAAACTGAGCTGCATGGAAATGGATATCGATGAGAGTGATCTTTTGCTGCACCAACCTTGGAGTTAGTGTCCCTCCCAGACCTGATACGTAGTGAACAGTAAAAACAACTGTATGACACGAATCGTGAGATGAGGAAAATCTTTATCCTTCTATTTTATAGGATTGTATATAATAAAGTTAGTTTTACGAAGACTATTTTAAATTCATTACACAACCTAAACTAGTACAAACAGGCCATTTAACGTCCTACCTTTTCAGCCAACGCTCAGAGCCACAGATTTTGGGACCCCCAGGAAGTTGTGGCTTCCCACTTTCGATCACACCACAAGGTAATAAAGAAAGGCACGGGTTGGCCTCCCATCTCCAGCTAAGGTGCAAACCACGACCAGCACAAGTTCAACCTCAATTGGGTCCTACGTGGAATCACCCCTCCCATTGTTCAGTATAATTTTTAATGTGGGATTGATCGCTCACCCGGGAGAGAAAACCCTATTGTTTTCACCCTTAGCCCAAGGGGGAAGATTCAGTAACCCACCTCTTCTGGAAAATGGACCACTTATTTAATGGAAAACATGCACACTGAAACATAGAAAACGAAAAGAAAATCTTTCATTTTTTTCAATGTAAGAGTGGTACCGTAAAGACAGATCACCATATAGATCAGGTTGCTTCATGAAAAGCATATAATAATAAGAATAATAAAATTCAAACTCTCTCGAACTCGCCAAGTAGACCTGGCCTTACTTCTTCAAACAATCTTCCCTTGGCGGCCCAATGACTCATCTCTTTAAGGGAAAACGTGTTCACTGAAGGAACAAAAACTGGAGAAGAAGAATTTTTCAATCCAAGGGTTGGTGTGAATTGAGCAGATAGCTTCTACATCTTGTATAGTAAAAGGGAAAGCAGAAGCCTTTCGAAATGGATATAATCTGGCCACGGCACTCATCGTCTAATCCTTGCCTTGTTCCTTCTGACTACCACCTCTTCCGGACTTCCGGTCACTTTACTTCCTTAAGGTGCAAACATTTTTCAATCCAAGAATTGATACAACCAGGGATTCGAGCAGATAACCTCTAAACCAAGTATAAATTCATGTAAAGCAAATCCTTTCGAATTGCACCTTCTAGTCCTACCGATGCACTTTCAGTCCCTCTCTTCCAAGCGGAAGTCCACTTTTTTGTACAAACATTAGAAAATGGATACAAATATTTCAAAGCAAGAATTGTCAATCGAGTTATCTTCTAGATCAAGTATAGCAACATAAAAAGCCAAATCTTTCAGAGACGGATAGATTCTTCTACCTCAACCACTCTGGTTTTGCTCCTTAATATACCACCTCTTCCGATTATTTATTTAAATTAGGTTTGATAACGAATCGGTAAATGCACTGTTAATGTTGGCTAGATAAATCATTTTACTTACGGTACTCCATACTAAAAAGTACTAGGTACAAAATAAATCTTTACGATGTATGTAGTGGCCACCTGCAGTTACCACGGAACCTGCTGAGTGTCACCGTATATAAGCAGGGGCACTGCCTCACTGACTTCCGACTCGTGTCCCCGATCACTAATGGAACATCAACAACGACAGCAAGGATATTCGCAGCATTAGCCTCGAACTCGCCTTCTCAACACAGCCGACTTGGCTACTGGCCAACTGCTGCACTCGGCTACCTGCTTCACCAGAGTCCCTTCAACCGCTGCAGAATCAATCGACTGATCCCCTCAGCTAACGGTCTCCTGGTCCCGACCTTATTCATCGTCTCACCACTACAAAACAACACCGGTCCTTCTCAGGGCCACCAAAAAACTCCCAGTCACTAAAATGTACTTTGATTTGTAAAAATGTTAATCTTTCTTTTGTTTGTGTGTTAAAGATGAACCGTACTGGTGAAATGGGTGGTGTCGAATTGGTCTGCCGACTGGTCGCAGCGACTCCTCCTTATCTGTACAGCCCTGCCGGTCCTCCTCACTCTTACTTCTTCAGCGAACTTCTCCGAGGACTCGTCGCCAAAAGATGCGCTTCTCCTCCTTCCCCAGACTCTTCGAAAAGGATAAGACTCATGTCGAGGGGCTCGGCATTCGTTGCTCCGAGCATCGGCACTTCGGTGACACCCGTGAGACCCGCAAACCAGCTCGCACCCACGACCAATCCACTCGCAACTTCTTACATACTCCCTAGGCTCAAAGACGTATACACTAAAGTAACAGAGGAAAAGAAACAAAAGGAACCACTTCCGGCCGTTATCGGACTCGAACTCGTTGTCGACTACGTCAAACACGAAAAAGAACCCGCAAAACATTAGCTTTGAGTACCAATTTGTAGACGCGACGATTGATTTTTGTATATAACTGTATGATAAAATATAATATTGTAGTTATTTAGTAAAAGATTAACTCGTTTAAAACTTTCATTTGATGAAACTTGAATACCTTCGACATTTATTGCTAAAAGGGTTAATAAACGACCTAATAACCTGTATATTAAGAATTTTGAATAAATTGAGATATGGGGATGTTTAAATTTTAAAAAATATATGATGAAATAGGTTCTTCCAATTTGTTACTGAAAAGAAGACTAGTACCCCACAACTTACGTAACAAAACATTTTCTTTTTTTAAATAATAAATTAAATGTATTACCATAATAAATTATGACGGACTTGAAAGTTGGGTCTTCGATCGTACATTGAGATTGTTAGTAGTCATGACGACAGGAGAACAATGGACGTGTGTGAGTGTATGACAGATGGAACGTCGAGTTCACAATGCTACAATGGTCCTCTCCCATTGCAAAATTATAACAACCAGCAATTATAAATACTTCTGGATTATATTTCATTAAGCATCCCCTGTCCTTTAAAACCTTATTGTTTGATAAAATCTGTTACATTCAATTTAAACCTATTAAAAAGTAAATATGTACAATACATTACATTGTAAAAAAAAATTAATGAAACATTAAATAAATATTATTTAACGTATAGACTATAAATAAACGTATGAAATGAATTTGTCCATTAAATTAGCAGGGTGTGAGAGTTGTTACAACATAGAAAAATGATTAAGAATAAAAGAAAACCCTGGAAATGCAAAAACACAGCAAGAAGGATCACAAAAGACTTCAAAATATTCCACAGAATCCATTCTGAATCTGACTGCATTTATTTTCAGTTCAAACTAATTAACCTGGAAAAGTGGTGCATCAACAACTGTTTTGTTGTCCGGAAAATAATGCATTGATGTCACCTTGTTAATATAATTATGATTGTTACTTTTACCAAAACAATTTGATTGTTGATTATTATTCTTTTAATTATAGATCTTATTTTTATATTGTATATTATATTATTTTATTGTAGCAAACAAATAAAATGTCAATCAATCAAGGCATGTCAGCAACAGCTCTAACACTGGTATGAGCTTATTATTTACAACAGCTCTTACCCTAAATGATGCTCGCAAATATGGGTTTCCACAACATCCATCCAGTGTCTTCCTGCACTTCCAAGATCCTGGAGATCGACTCTATTTGACTTGTTCCTGGCTGGGTTCCAGAAGGAGTATGGCTGCTTGATTGCTCTGACTAAGTCCTCAGCTTGACTGCCTTCCCGAGTTGAAAGGCTTTTGCTTTCCAAATCATTTCCTTTTATAATGATTTCCCAATGAGAGTAGGGGTAGAAAGGAAAAGCAAGAACTGTTGGCCAAATAGAATCTGGGGAAATTCCATTGTGCAGAATCCTAGTCTGGCGAAGATGTATATCGCCCACCTGGCACTGACATAACCCAAATTTATAACTGCGTCTGCCTTCCCATACATAACTTTTTTATTATTTAGTAGACATACTATCCAACTATGGTGTTTCTTCGATCTTCAGGCTTGTGGGAAATGTCTCTGCTCCCTTCTGGGTGGGGGGAATGTCTCCTCAGATTTACGTCCTTAGTTGTAATATTTGTTTGACATTCCTTAAAACTATTTGTCTGCTTATTTTAGCAACTATTCCAAACTTATTCTAAGACAGGACCTGCTTGCAAAATAAATAATATATATAATAAAAGGAGAGATAAAAGTATGGTACTGCAATGGAGTATGCAATTCCTTCACTGGAAGTCCAGCTTTCTAATGAAACACTAACAAAAAAAATAAGGAAAATTTGTGTATAATGTACACACACAAAAAAAAAACAGTATAGTGGGAAAAAGGTCAAATTATGCCGAATTAAAATTCCATGAGCTATGCTGGGATTTGAGCCAAGAACCGCTGGCGTTACAAATACGAAAATTGGACGCCCTAACAACTTAGTAACTGGAGTATCCTAATTGGGTTACTACTCAAAACAAATATAAATCTTCTTAAGGGAGACAATAAGCTAAGATTAAGGAAATAATAAATTAACAAACTTCTTTAAAAAAAGAAAAACTTACAAAACCACCTTAGCTCTGCCAAATTTAAAGGATTCCATGGTGGAAACTATTGTAATTTTTTCCTTCACAATGTTTCAAATAATGTAATAATAAAATTAAATAACATGCAAAATTTAATTATAACTCAATACAAATGTGATCTCTTTTACCTTGAAAGCAGGAACTGCTAGAGACAGCTGATGGTTTCACCTCAGAAAGTTGAACTGGAGCCTATTGGTGGTTTAGTTTGATTACTCTGGTAATTTAACTTATGGTAAAAATAGTCTTTATGCAAACTATTTGAATTAAACAAGATCATAACACCAGTAATTATATTTAAAATAAAATTATATTAATTTAGGCATTATGCACCTTAAAAACCATGTGGCCAAAATAGAAGATAGATATCTTCAATCCTATGAACCTGTATTTATACGGTTGATCTTTATATAAATTTTTAAGGGGGAGGATCTTAACTCATTTGTAACAAGTTGCATAAATCATACTGTAAGAAGCATATTTGCCAAAAAAATATAATGTGCACATAAATCCTTACCAGACTGCTGACATAATCCACACCTTTCATATTAGAGAGGAACTTGCAATATCAGAGAAAATTTACTAAAACGACAAAATAGCACTAATCCAAGAAACTGTATGTAATATTTGAAAAGGAAGAAATTGCAGAATACATTAAAGCAGCAAGAAACTGAGATTCAAAGGTCACTGGAGAATCAACAAACATCTGAAAAAATACTGGTATGTATGAACAAGGAAAATATAGATTTTAAGAAGAAACTGAAAAAACCCTGACATATGTAGAAACGGACTTTGCAGCAAGTTAACAGGAAGCAACCCTGTTTCAGAAATGGAAAGAGATCAAGTGTAAGGTTAAAGGGTTCGAGTTACTCCCTAGCAAAACCCCATGGTTCCAATTATATTCCAAGCTGAAGTTTATGGATCCTAACTCAGTGCATGAGAGTTGACAAAGAAGAAAGTAAAATGTGATCAGATTTACATATTTTCAGACATGTAATTTAAAGTAACCCAGTGTTGGTTCATACCTAGTCTGGGCTCGCCTAAATACCCTAGGAGAAAGATAAGGTTACTTGAGGTGGGTTATGGAACATGAAGGTATGTATGGAAACGAACAGGTTGACCTAGCAAAGATCTCACTCTCATGGTACTGAAATCATAACTAGGCTCACTCAAGTTGGGAAAACACTAGACAAAAGCACCTGTGGCAAGCTAGAGATTCACAAATTTCTCCTGAAGGAAACTGAAAGGACTTCTCTCTCTCTCTCTCTCTCTCTCTCTCTCTCTCTCTCTCTCTATTTCACCCACTGGCCTCTTAATTACCATCTAAAGAAGATGGGCAAAGTAGTCATACTGACTCTTTCAAGGAAAACGAGACATCAGTACGTGAATGTGAATGTAAGACGCTACCCTGCTTACAGAACAACCACTTCAGTAAAGCAAGTCACACACCATGACACATAGAGAAAAGGGCTTAGTTTTGTGGGAAAAACATAATTTCCACGGTATGATCTTAACATAGAAATTCCACAGTAGAATTATAAGGGTCAAAGTGTAGAAAAGGTCAGAATTCTTTCTTGACCCCTGCTGTAAAACCCCACTGAGCTCATTATTCTTCTGACCTGATGAGCTACAATCTATCGTTGACATAGTTATTTATAGCTCCCTCAGCTGTGGTGATCTTTAAAACGTTTTTTTACCTTTTAAGTTAAGTTTCAAAGCCCTGGTGAGGTATATATATTGACAAAAGCTCAACAAGGAGCTAAGTGTTTTTCTTTTATCCTGACCATATACCTGATCATTTTTTAACATAACAAAAACTGATAAATAATTATAATGGAGTTAATTTATTTTTATAAAGTTTATATGTAATTACTCTTAAATGTGGTTTTATTTAGGAAGGAAAATATTAATAAGTAAAGTAAACCTATCATACAAGAGGACTTAACATCCAACCTTCCGTTTGGGTGTCATGGACGATGGGTCAGACTTTTCAATTGTTTTTCCAAATTAACCTAAAAAAAAATTCCAAAGGATAGGATTTGAACAAAGAAAAAGTGTAGTATAAGTTGGACATGTTAACCACTCGGCCACCACGGTTCCATTGGAAAAGTTAATAAATGGGAACATTAAAACTACTAGTTTATACTTTAGAAATGCTTTATTTATTCTAAATATTCTGTATCAATCTATTATATAATTACAGGAAAACAATATTAATAAATAAGAACATAAAACCACTAGGTTTACACTATTAAAAATGTTTTATTTGTTTCAAATATACCATATCAAACTATTATTTAATTTATATTTATTTACAAATTATTCTTGGGGCAGTAAATGTTACTATGTACACACATCTTCATGATAGGTTCTGCTTGACTTGAAATTCATAAATGCCAAAACCGTTAGCCTTCAAATTTCAAAATTAAGTTTCTCTAATACTAATGGACAAAAGTTTGTGAGTCTTGGCACTTATGAAGACTACTCTTCCTTGTCTGACGTTTCGGCAATTGCAATTGGTTGTGATGCCTTAGAAGAGAGACCTTTTTCCTGAGAAACCTTGAAAAACGGATGAACTGGGCGTGGGGTGTCCACATGGACTGGGGGCTTACCAATGAAATCCGGAGTTCGTGTTATAGTCACAAATGGAATCTTTTTCTTGATGACGGGAGTAGCCGGGTCAATTTTTTCATGTCCTTTAAGAGTATCTAAAGAAAGAATTTATAATTACATAAATCGTACTCTAAACTTTAATATTACGTTTTTCAATTAATTACTATTTATGAAAAGTATTGCTTGAGATAAAAAAGTCAGTGTCACGAGCGAAGTCACGATAGCTCAAGTGGTAGAGTAACGGTGTATTTAGCCAAAGGTCGTGGGTTCGAATCCCGCTCATGACACTGACTTTTTTATCTCAACCAATACCTTTCATAAATATTAATTAATTGAAAAATGTTAATTGGTCAATCGGACCACGAACTGTAATGAATGTAATAATTAAACTGAAGTATATCTTCATGAAAATTCTCCGTGGCCATTTCATCTGTTACCGAGAATCAAGTAGATTACATATTTGAAAAATGGCAAAAAGGAGGGAAATTCAAAAGGTGAGGTTGAGATGGGAAGTTAAGTGTTCGAGTGGTTCGAAATCACGATAGCTCAAGTGGTAGGGCACCGGCGTATTTAGCCAAAGGTCTTGGGTTCGAATCCCACTCGTGACACTGACTTTTTTATCTCAACCAAAACCTTTCATAAATATTAATTAATTGAAAAATGTTAATTGGTCAATCAGACCACGAACTGTAATGTATTTAATATTACATTTATATTCAAATAAATTTGCCTCACAGTTTTCATAAGTAACTTATCAATTAAATCGTAAAAATGAAATACGATTCTACTAAGGAAGGGAAAATTGTTAATGTTGTCATTTAATAATGTTAAAAATTCAACAAAATGTAAAGAATTAATTAAGGTTTTTAGTTGAGATGAAAAAAGCTAATGGCATGAGAGGGATTCGAACCCACGACCTTCGGCTAGATACGCCGCTGCTCTACCACCTGAGCTATCGTGACCTTGATCCACTCGGACATCAACTCCCCATCTCAACCCCACCTTTTGAGTTTTCCCTCCTTTGGGAGAGTGCCATTAGCTTTTTTTCATCTCAACTAAAAACCTTAATTAATTGTAAAGTATTAATTGGTCAAGCGGACCACGAAATTAGGAAAAAAATGTAAAGAAACAATTTCTGTAAATGTAGTCATCTATGTGGGATAAATTCTTATTTTAATAATCTGATTAATAATGTTACTATTATTATTGTAGTTAATCTATGTAAAACAGTATTTAAGCTATTGTTTATTATCAGTTGTATTTATGTAATACAATAATAATAATAATAATAATACCTTCTGGGTCTTTTATAGTTGTTAATGCAGCTCGTTTTCTCACACGTGGTGTTTTTGATGATGACGGGTTGTTTTTCAGATATGAAAAAATACTCTTCCTGTTAAAAAAATGTATCGCGTTATATTCATAACAGAAACAATACATAGATTAATAACAAATAACAATAAATGCAATGTACCCTGCTGGGGGAGTCTGATTTTCAGGAACTATATCAACGCTCTGCAATCCATATTTGGCTTGCAGCTCCGTATTGACTACCCTGTAATAAAAGAAAAAATTTTATTGATTAAAAATTATGAAACAACAAAAAACAAGTTATACTTACCAACATGGACTTTTATTGAAATCGCGACTCTTGGAAGCTATTTCCCGTACTTTGCGAGTCAGTGCATTTTTTGAAACATAAACTGTCGGGAGGTCTTTTTCAATTTTCGATGTGAATTCAAGTAACAACTTCGATAAAGGCAAATTGTTCCCATGTACAAATTTTACTAACAAATCCAACACTGTAAATGATTAACAATGTAAACAAAAATTAAATTCATAAAAGGATGTACTGTTCATTTGTTATATTTACTGTATTAAATTAATATACCTTCTTGAGGGAATTTTTTAGTTTTACTCGTTGACTGAGGAGAAGAGGGAATCTCTACACCTTCCGACACGGAAACATCAATGGAACCCTTTTCTTCATCCCAAACAGCTCGGTGGTTTAGAAGTGATGTATAAAGACTTCCTGAAAATTTTACCAACTAGAGCTAGATTATTTTAATTTTACCACAACTGAAACATGAATTATTATAATTTATTGTTCAAAACCTCCTCACACCCATATTAGCAAGACACCCCAAACATTATTTGGTCTGATTTTTTACTCAAACTCAAATCAGCATGACAAAAAAAAATCCACAGTTACGATTTTTGCATGCAAAGATTTTTAACTGTTAGACAAACCATCAGAAGGCTGGCCTACTCGGTTCATGTATAATTAAATAATCTTTTTATGTAGGTACTCTAAGGAGACTATGGTGGCCAAGTAGTTACAGCAGGCTTCCCAAACTTTCTAGCCAACAGACCCCTTTCACAGCTACATGGAAAACAAAGCCCTGAAGATGATCTCAATAAAGATCGAAACGTTGGCATGATACAGAAAATGTTTTTCTAAAACCTACATCACACCGTATCTCACAATCTCCGTATAATCATTAAGAGTGAGTTTAGTAATCACACTGATCCTTCGGCCAGTCATTGTTTTTTCACCACCTGTGAGCAGGTCAATGCAATTAGATCATAGAATATCGTTAGTTGTAACAAAATCGTCCAACAAACTCATCAATTTGGCTACCTGGTATGGAGAAACTGCTTGCTTCCTCAGAGATCCTGGCTTCAGCCACCGATCCATATTAGAGTAAATAACTGATCATCGAGAATGGCACAAATAGGTAGTCTCGCAAGAGAAATTTGAGCTTGAATCACATTTTCAAAAAACATTGGAAAAATCCAGGGTGTTCAAGAAGCAGCATTTCCCGGTAATGAAGGACCCTAAAGGTGGTCATTCACGATCGCTCCAAGCAGTCCAAACGGAGCAACGCCATTCCAAAAACCACGTCAATGGCAAAACTGAACTGGCGTGCCCGGCTGTGCCGAATATTCGACTGGTCCAAACTCCATCGGGCCACTCCAAATATCTACGGCGCAACGACGGCATGGCGCGTTCGTGAATGGGAAAACCTGGCGTGGAGGGTGGGATTTTGGCGCGCTGGCCTGGTCGTGAATGGGAAACCCTCGTTTTTTTGGCGCAGTCTCCGTCTTTCTGTCACTGAGCAAACATCTCCGTCGTACATTCTCAAAAAGTAGTCAAAAACGTTTATTCTTTATTGGTAATGACATCCAATCGAGATTTTATTGTTGAGGTGATTGAATTGAATGAAAGTTTACCATGTTTATGAAAATGGTGGACAATGATTATATTACCACGACAGAAATAAAAGAAATTCGATCCTCAACCAGATGGTCGACATTTTCAAAACAAAGGATACAAATGCAATGAGAGATGCGGTATTGATAACCCCTAACAATGGTCAAAAATCGTAGTTGAGAACTTAAGTTCTTTGTAGTTCATCCCTGTAGGAGAAATCGTAATGTGGTTGCCAACCTTTCATGTAGTGATGATTTCTCTCATGACTGTCTTTTGTTTTCTAATCAGGGGGTAATAAGCTGGAGTAAATATAAATAAGACGTTAATCTTTTTTTTGTAAGGTTTTGGTTGAAATGAAAAAATAGTGTCACGAGGGGATTCGAATCCACGACATTCGGCTAAATACCCCGCTGCGCTAACCACTTGAGCTATCCTTACTTCGATAGTTCGGTCCATTAGGGCACCAACTCCCCATCTCAACCTACAACCTTTCGAATTTTCTCTCTTTTGGCCATTTTTTGGTGTTGGAGAGGATCGAAGTCACGATAGCTCAAGTGGTAGGGCAGCGGCGTATTTAGCCGAAGGCCATGGATTCAGATCCCGCTCGTGGCACTAGCTTTTTCATTTCAACCAAAACCTTACAAAAAAGATTAAATAATTGAAAGAAGTAATTTGGTCAATAGAACACTAAATATAATGAATAAATAAGACGTTTCATCCATCCTTAAATAGTTCCTCCAATCAGCGGGTTCAAGGGAAAGTTCTTTCATCAAATTGATGTGGGTATTACGGCTTCTGTTCAGGAGCCAGTTCTTACACCATTTTCTCTTCGATTTTTTGCTTTTAATACGTAAATAAACAGAAGAGTAGCACAAGAGATCGTCATCCATTTTGAGAAGGTAATTCACTGGTTGACGTTTGGAGCGACTGGCTGTGGAGCGGTCATGAATGCCCCTCAAATTTCAGGCACTCCAAATGGACCTGTACGGCTTGGCGCGGTTTCATTTGGAGTGATTGTGAATGCCCCCTCAAATTTCTGGCACTCCAAATGGAGCTGTACAGCTTGGTACGGTTCCATTTGGAGTGATCGTGAATGGCCACCTTAATATCAACAAAGACTAGGAAACTGATCGACCAACCAGTCAAGTCCCATCCGTCTCACTTACCTCACCTATTTTGCTTATGTGAGCAAAACTAAACATAGAATAAATAAATTTTTTAAAAACTCATTTTTAGTACTTCTAGTTTAATTAGTTATTTTAATTTTATTTATTCATTCTACATTTATTTCTGTAATTATTAATTTTTCTCGAAGTTCGCCACAAACCACAGTTTGAGAAGCAATGAAAATAATAAAAAGAATAGTTGAAATTGATGAGACAGACCTTTGCTAACTTCAGTTGTTTCATTACTGATCCACACACATCCCAACAAGCGTGGTTTCAGTCTTTCAGTCTTTGTCTTCATCTCTTCGTCAAATTCTTTCTTGAGCACCTGCATCCTCAACTTTTGGTCTTCTGGCGTCTGAAAGAAATTTGTTACTTCTGGTCTATTTTACATTTAATTTTATAATGTCTTACAAAGATTTCCTCATCAGCTGCTTCCTCATCACTGAGATAACCATGCGGAACGAAGATGTTGTCAAGAACATAGCCATTTTCACCAACATTTTCATCATCACTTGGTTCTTTGTCTGAATCGGCATCTTCGTTCCCAATATCTTCTCCTTCGCCCTCATCTTCCCATTCAGAATCAGAATCAACTTCATAATCCATATTCTAACATATTTCATAAAAATTGTTTAATAAATGTAAAAGATGTAAAAGTTTATTTACATAGACTAACAAAGATATACCTTATCCTTATTCAAAGGATTCCTAGGTTTGATAACTGTACTCTTTTTTCGCCATGTACCCCAATAAGGAGGACGCCTGTTGTCATGAAACTGGAAAAGCTTTGCCTTATGCATTTTAAATTTATTCTTTCCAGAATGATCCTCGACTACTGCTTCATTTTCAATAACATCTGACTCTGCATGGCAAAAATAACTGTATATTTAACCGATATTAAATATTTAACATAAATAAATAAAATTCACCTATAATAATAACATCATGTTGTTCATCTGATAAATGCCATGTAGGCTGAGTTGTTGAAGGCACATATCCATTTTTCAATTTACTAAGGTATAATTGACTCTTATCTGCCATTTTATCATATGCAATAATTTCATCCAACTTTCGTTTGGTATTCGGTGATAAGGGAGCTCGCCTTTCACCTGCCAACCTCATGTCTGGCTTAATCTGTTAATAAAATTCTAATTGCAGGAAATATAAAATTTATATATTTACAACAAAAAAAGGTTGAAAAATTGACAAACCGAAAATGGCATGAATTTTGACGATGGTTCTACCTCTTCTGATTTTTCTACCTGTTCATTATCACATTTACTTTTCTTGGGAATGAAAAAGCTAGAAAATGCGAGTTGAGCTTGAGCTTTTTTCTGTTCTTCTACCAACTTGGCTTCTTTTTTCTTTCTCTTTTCTTCCTCCTTAGCTTCCTCTTTTCTTTTCTTTTCGTCCACTTTTTTCTTCTTTTCTTCGTCTTTCATCTTTCTGTCTTCCTCCTTCAATCTGCAAACCAACATTAAATTGTTTTCAAAACATTTTAACTTCAAATAATCGATTCGAACAATCTAAAAAGAATACCTTTGTTCTTCCTCTCGTTTTTTTAGTTTTTCCTCTTTCTTCCTCCTTTTTAAGTCTTCTTCTTCCATTTTCTTTCTCAGTTTTTCTTCCCTTTGTTTTGCTCTTTCCTAAAAATTAATAAAATATGGAATTTAAATAAATTTATGTTCTTTTTCTAAATTATTTAACTTCACCTCCTTTAATCTTTCTTTTTCTTTTTTCTTTTCTAATAAGAGCCTTTGCTTTGGGGAAATTATCTTTTCCTGATTCGAAAAGTTTGCCTTGTCCTTCAAATACACACAAATCACAATATTAAAAATTAATATCTAATAAAGCTGCCACCTTGTAAGAAAGTATAAAATTGTCTTTAAAAACTAAATTTGTTAATTGTTTATCCTATATCACTCTGGACTGTCTGTTTCTCCTCTCTTGATTAAGTACGTTTTGTCTTTCAACAACTTTAAATCATCCAGGATGATCAAACTACCAATGGATATTCACTGCTTTATGTAATATGTCACAATAAAAATGCATGTGTTGAAACTATGTTAGTAGCAGGAACTATTCTTCAAGGTAGAAATGTCTTGAAAAACAACTTTTACTGAATTTTGAAAGACTTTTGAATTATCAATTTCAATACGTAGGAACCAAATCATTTATTTCTTCATCTGGCACATAAATGGCTATGAAATTAACACAAATTGTAAAATATAACTGAGAGATAATCTCACAAAAAATTTGCCATCTTTGTTATATACCTGAACTAAAATGGTCTGATATAACATACCAACATTTTGCCCAATATTTTATTATGTTTGGACACTTTATTACTAACCTTCAGCATTGAAGAAAAATATATAGCTTAATGAATTTGCAAGTATATGTGCGCGAACAATATCATAAGACACTTAACTACTTAGGCATATTATTTTCAAGTTTTTATGATTCTTTCATGCATACTTTCATTCGGAAGCTTAATTCGAAGAGAACTTGGTCTAAATTGTTGAACTTGGGTCGTTTGTTACACTATGTGATAGTGGAGTGCAAATGGAGAGCAAGCTGTACTGATAATTTGGGAAAAATTCAATGCTTTAATCCATAATTTGATTGTTTCTGATCATTCTGCGCATGTTCAACAGACATATACCCATAACTGAAAATGGTCAAATGATGTTTGGAGAAAAGAGGTTTCTGGGTTTGAATTCTGACATAGTTTTTACAATTTTTTATTGAGAATAATATTTTTAAAAAGAAATGTAAAGTGGTCTGGCCCCTTATCCACTTTAGGTTACGGGTATTGAACGTTATGACTGGAATTACTTTACTTTTTTTTTTGCACACTAAAATATTTAAATAATACTCAATCAGATTAAGATACTTCTAGTTACTTCTACTCAAATTGTTTCTCTTCATAGCAATGAATAAGGCAGGAACTGTCAAGCTCAGATTTGTGATTTTCAAAAGTAAAGTGCTTTGGTAAAATGGCGCAAAATAAAATCACTAATTCCACATTTAATTTCCATTTTAAGCTCAAGAGATTTTTGATAACTTCTTGGAGTCATTGATTCTTGCAGTTTAAGAAAGTTAAATTCAAATGATTATAATTAATAGTTTACAGATAGTTTAAAAAATATTTTACAGTAATAATTGTATACAATTAACAACAATACCAAAAATGTGTAATAAACTGTTTGATTGACATATCAAATAATATGTAGCATAATGAATGTATTTATTGTCAGAATAGTCAAGGGTTTTTAAATGTTAAAAAAATTAAAATATTAACTTACCGATTCAGAAATTGGTGATGTACCAGAATCACTCATTTCAAAGGTCTCGTTACCAGTTACATTAAAGCTTTCGTTGTTTACATCTACAAGTGTCGAATCGTTTAAAGCATCGTTATTTTCGTTCAATTCAACACAGCCAAGTTTTTCTCCTTCAATTCCTGCATTATCTGTTTCTTTTTCGTTGCTGTCTTCTACTTTACAGTTTTCACTATCCTGTGTTCTGTTTATGTTATTCGCTTGTTGAGAATGTTCACCGTTGCTGTCTACATCATCACTTTTCTCGTGTAATGAAAGGTGCAATTGAAAACTGTTTCCTTCTGATGTAGATTTTTCATGACTATCTCCATTTTCTTTGTTATTTTCTTCGTGATCATTGCTATCATCGATGTATATCGCATCTAATTCGGTTTTAACAGGATGTTCACCATTACTGCTGTCTACATCATCACTTTTCTCTTGTTCAAATGAAAGGCGCAACTGAAAACCGTTTCCTTCCGATGTAGATTTTTCATGACTATCTCCATTTTCTTTGTTATTTTCTTCGTGATCATTGCTATCATCAATGTATATCACACCTAATTCAGTTTTATCAGCATGTTCACCATTTGGATTTTTATTTTCAGAATCAGACTTCACGTCATGATTCTTAACAACATTCTCGTCTGTCACTCTGTCATTGTCTTTGCAGACAATTTTCAAAGCCTTCCCATCTTCAGATAACGGCTCACTGAGCTTCCTCTTATTTCTTGGTGAGGTAAAGCAAAATGAGAGCTTGGCTAAAATTGAGAAAAACCATTAATTAATAAAGCCTTTGTACCTTTCCAACATAGATAATTCTACTTGCTCAACATATTATTCTTTTAACAATAGTGTCTGTACAATTTCTATATGTAATCTACAAAAATTTGGAAAAACTAAATCGGACTGTGGTTTATGGGCAAATTTGGGCTTACAGTAAAGAACACTCTTGACTTAACCTTACTTTGGCTGTATAAATTTCATAAAATATTGAAGCCTCTCTACAGAAAAAGACATCCATCAAGGCACTCTACAAAGATCAGTGCTCTCACTAATTTAATTTGTACATGTACGAACTTCCCTCTCCAGCATATAGCAGACTGCAGAGACGGTGCAGTTATATATGCCTCCAATCACAAAATCTGCACAGACAATGCAGTTATATATGCCTCCAATCACAAAATCTGCACAGACACTGCAGTTATATATGCCTCCAATCACAAAATCTGCACAGACGATGCAGTTATATATGCCTCCAATCACAAAATCTTAGAGACTCAAAAAGCAGTTCAGGATGCTTCAAAGGATATGTCAAACTATTGTGACAAAGGGATACTGGAGATAAACCCTTCAAAATGAAAATAAAAATCTTTACCCTGGGACCTACCATCCTTACAAGTTGAAAGAAATGACATCCCGTGGAATCTTCCAGTGCCTCTGTGAAGTACCTATCTGGACAGAAGGCTATACTGGAAGTACCATATAAATAAAAAGGTGACCAGAGGATATGTTCTTCTGGGTATGCTGTATTATGTTATAAACCACAAATTCAAAGTAAGAAATAGCGTAAATTAACCGCTTTTATTTTTGGACATGGGAGGTTAATGGGCTGACGTACAACTGAAACTCTCAACGTTTTTCCTTTTTTTTTCTAGTTTTTCACGTATTTTTTTTAACCTGCAGCCATTTTAGCATCTCAATCTGATTACTGACATTCTGCTTTTACTTGTGACTTCATCCACGCAGGACTCTGTTTTATTTTAATGTACCTTTCTAATGTGATGCAGAGTGCTAGAACAGCTTTCTAATATAATGTCTTGTTTCTCAAATTCTTCTTTTCTTCAGTTCACTTTTGTCTATACATGGTAAAAAATTGCCCATATGATCCCCTTAGGGATGGAATTTAAAAAAATCCTTTCTTAGCGGCTATCCATGTCATTATAGGAATGCACTGTCAAAATTTCAGTCCTTTAGATCCAGCGGTTTAGTCTGTGCATTATCTGTCAGTCAGTTATGGAACTTTTTATATATATATATATTAATAAAAGATAGGGATGGAATTTAAAAAAATCATTTCTTAGCGGCTATCCATGTCATTATAGGAATGCACTGTCGAAATTTCAGCCCTTTAGATCCAGCAGTTTGGTCTGTGCATTGTCTGTCAGTCAGTGTCGGAACTGTTTTATATATAGAGATTGTTGATATCCTAAAAGCCTGCAAGCCTCTCATTTTTATCTCAGGTTGTCAATAATCAAACAGAAACAAAAACATGAAAATATTTTCAGACAGATATTCGCATCTGACGACCACCAGAGCACTGGCTGATGGGAACTCCAAGCCATAAACCAAGTGCTGTGAAGTACAGACTTCTATTGGAGAGTCCAATCATCCCGTTTATTATTTAGTTTCGTTCAAACAGCATAATTTTTACAGTAAAAATTATATAAAAAATAAAACGACAGATTTGTATCTGCAACATCTGTAATACTTGGAAATATCACTGACAGCGGTAAGCCTGTAAACCTTTGCATGCAACAAGTGTATTTAAGTCTAAATTTTATAAAATTATGAAAACGGTTAAAAAATAATAAACTTATATTTCAAAATAAATGTTTTAAAAAAAAATCGCAATATAAATATACTATAATTGACTTTTGTGACATATATTTAGACTATTTCATAATATGTAAATTTAATAAAATAGAAGCTTTAATAAAATAAAACATTTTAACAAAACCTTGTTTTAATTTTTTCTTCGGCGGTTCGCTTGCATCTTCAACTTCCATGACTCACAATTCTAGTCAAAAAAAGAAAATTATCAATACGACTCGATTGAAAAAGTTGAGTGCAGACTGCACAAAAAGCACAATATCAACTTCAATGCGACGATGCAAAACTGGATTCATAAGCTTGAAAGCGTCTGTAATATTAATCTGGGCAACTCATAAACTTGGTACTCCAGGCCCGACATAAAGGGTTCCCCAAAGATCCAAGCTTTTGGTGAAGGTTGCATGATTTACCCGCGAACCCGCATTTTTATCTGTGCCTCTGCAATATAGATAAATGGAGTTTTGATAAACTAAAATTTTATAGATGTTTCCCTGTAAAATAAAACCTTTGCCGAAGCGTTACAAGACTTACTGAACAATTATTACAATATTTTTTTGTGTACAAAATGAGGCTTACACGTATAAATAATAAGACTAGGATTGTTTTATAGCTTGTGATTTTTTTTATTTCTTGAGTGTATCAATAAACTTTATTACAAAAAAATTTTTAAAAGAAATTTCACCCCTTTTTTTATAGGATAAGGCAAATAAAAAGATATACGGAACTATTTCAATCGACCCCCATTCAACTTCACATTCACATTCATTCCACACAGTTGATAAGGATTACACACCCAACCACGATCCAGAAAGCGCACTAGTCTCTTGATCTTTTGATTATGGCAGCTCATATTATCAATAAATTAGTAAGTTTGTTTTTAACTTTTTTCTTTAATAATTTCTCATTTAAAAGATTTATTGTATATCGAATCGAGCTTTGGTTTTATCGTTTCGCTAACCTTAATTTACCTGTGAAAACTGAATTCTTTTAAATGAGATTTGCCCATTTATACCTATTTATAGACTAAACTTTGGTCTAATCTTTAAATTGGGACGAGAGTGTTTTGATATCTTTAGAGCATAAATTGTAGAGGTGCAGCAGGCTCCCCTCACTGGCGAGAGGGCTGAGCAGCGGAGGGTCGAAAAAGAAAGTGACGCTCATACCAGGAGATGGAATCGGTCCGGAAATCTCCGCTGCCGTCCAGAAAATATTTCTCGCTGCCAAAGTGAGTACGTTTAGCTCTGCGAAACTATCGAATACTGATTCTTTCTAAATTTGACCTGCAGGTTCCGATTGAGTGGGAAGTCGTGGACGTGACACCGGTCAAGGGGCCAGATGGGAAATTCGGCATTCCTCAGTCTGCTATCGATTCGATGAACAAAAACAAAGTCGGCTTGAAGGGACCATTAATGACGCCTGTCGGAAAGGGTCATCGTTCCCTTAATTTAGCTTTAAGAAAGTAAACATTTTCTTTAATATTGAATATTTAAAAACAAAGAAACGATACATTTTATTGTTCTTAATCATATAAAATAGATTCCCTTCATAATGCTTGGTTTATTGGCAGCTTCAAGGGAAGTTTAGTTTCTTATGCTGGTATGATGTAGATGAATTAGTCGGAGTATGGCCTTTTAAAAGCTGCTTACTCCATGTTCTGTGCCTATAGCACATTGGTTCATCAAGGAACTTGATTAGTAGGCTCAGTTTCAGGGTTGAATCTCTTCAACGTTTATATCCCAAAAAACTTCTTCCTGAGGCAAATATGGCACCACAGTTAGTTAGTAGGTGTGTTGGTGCTTCTTTGTAGAATCTGCAGGTGCTGTGGTGGATTATACCATTCTCTTTCATATGCCCGTTCAGTATACAGTTTCCTGTCAGGATTTGGAGTTTTCCCCGCTTCCCTTGATGCAGTCTGCTGTTTCTTTTCTTCCAAAATTGGCTAGAGGATTCTTGGATTGATTATTGTCAATGAGCAATTTCCACTGTTTCTTTATTTTCATTTTGTCTTGTTAATAGTGTAAATCCCTAGCTGTCAGATCAGATGTCCACGTAGTGTGGATAGGTTCAGTTCAATAGTTAAATTGTATATCCCATAACACTCCTTTTGCAAGCTAGTGTCGCACCAGTGTTGGTGTTTCCTCTGTTTTTTTTTTTTTTGTTTTTTTTTTCAGAATCTTCACTTGTTGTGTTAGGTTATCCTATTCTATCTACATCTACATCTATATTAGTAATGGAATTCCATAAAAATACCATAAAAAAATGCAAGGCAACCAGCACTCTTAAGTCAGTTAAAACAAACATTGGATGCATGGTGTGTTCCAGACTTGTTTATTTGTTCACTTGTCGTGCCTTCATTGACCAACCAACACCAGAGCTGCCTGTTGGCTGTTACCATCCCCAGTTCTTTCATGGTTGAGCCCGTCACCTCCAGTTTATCATCCATCCATCTTGACCTTGGTCGGTCCTCTTCCTTTTACCGTTCACTTACCCTAACATCAGCTTTTCCTCCAAGATAGCCTGTCTTCTCTTTTTGTGGCCAAAGTACTTCAGTTTTGCCTTTAATATTCCCTCAAGTGAGTCTAGCTTTATTTCCTGTGGTGTGTGGACTAGTTTGATAGTGCAGTCCAAGGCACTCTCTGAATTTTCCTCCAACACCACAGTTCAAAAGCATCTATCCTTCGCTAAGCCTTCGTTATGGTCCAACACTAGCAACCATAGATTACTACTGAGAATGCTTTAACTATGCCGACCTTTGTTGCCAGTGTGATGTGTCTGTTCTTAACTATTTTATCAACACTTGCCATCACCAAATAGACTTTTGATTTCTTGGCTGCAGTCAGTCTGCAGTAATCTGTGCGCCTAAAAATACAAAGTCTGTCACTGCCTCTACTTTTTCTCCCTCTGTTTGCCAGTTATCAATCAAGCTTAGTTGCAAAATGGTGTCATATGAATATCTGAGATCGGTAATATTTATTTATTATTATTACAATTTGGTCTCTAGTCCTGCCTTTTCTAAACCCAATTTGTACATCTAGTAATTCTCCGAAAATTGTACCAAGAAAGATCTTTACCTTACTGGCATGTGAAATAAATGCCACCGTTTGATAATGTTAACATTCTTTAGTGCTTCCCTTTTTTGTTATGGGGATATAAGTAGATTTGTTCCAATCTGATGGCCATTTTCCAAATTTATTGGCATGTGGCATAAATCACCTTGACTGCAACATCTTGCAATATTTTAAACAGTTCAGCTGTGTCGTCTCTTGCTACTTTGTTATTAGCACTGATTCTTAATGACTGTTTCAACTTCACTCTTTAGGATATCTGGCTCTAGCTTACAGACCCCACCGTCAAAGTTATAATGTATTAATATTATCCTGGGGGGAGGGGTAGACGAGTGGTTAAGGCGTCAGACTCGGCTAGTAGATCCCGCGGTCATGGGTTCGATCCCCACCGTCACCTCTGGACTTTTTCTGATGCCTAATGGGACTGGTGGCAATTGAACGAAATTGACTCGGCACTCATCAATAGAAGGGGCGGGATCGGATCTCAGCAACTCTGAATTTGGTCCCAACCCCCTTCAAAAATGAGTCTTCGATGAAAGAACACAGGCACACGGGGGCTCAAGTTCACATTTGTGTTGCGAGCCCTCCCCCAAAATTTGGAGCCATGGATAAAGTACAATAAGCTTTACAGCTCAGCTGCAGTGCTCAGGAGGGAACTCCTCCAGTCCATGGTATCTAAGAAAAAAAGTATTATCCTTTCTATACCGATCTTCCGTATATTATTCCTATAATGACAAACAGAGATTATTAAAGGTAGGCCCGGAGTACGAGGCAAATAGGGAAATTTTTCTGGACAGAGTACACAGGATTAAAGAGGTCAATAAGCCGTTTAGTTGGGAAAGTTTGTTCGTGTCTTGTAGGGACGAGGTATATAAGTTAATGTATTTATTTAACCAAAACTTAGATATTAGTGTGTAATTCTATTTATCCTTAGAAGTGCCTCCATGGCTCTTGGCCTAAGCATTGTTCCCGATTGTCAAGCAGTCTGGTATTGTTCGTCGTTCTAATTTACTTATTTATTTAGGTATCTTAATTAATTAATTCTGGTGGATGTTCTTGCAAAATATTGCTGAATGCCTTAAAGGCAAAGCAAAAAAAAAAAATTTTCCTAGAATATAATTCGATAGTTAACCAACATTCCATCCTATGTATTTTTGTGATTCCGTGTACATTTCAACTATTGGATTTTTCAACTACAAGGGCATATCAACGCCTGGGAATTTTGTGTTTTTGAAAAAAGAACTCTCAGTTTGAATTAATGGCTGCTAAGATTTGATCCACAGACTCGACGCCTTCTGGGTTTCTCCTTGTTTTCTCAACCTTTCAAATGAGGGGTTAAATTCTTGAAATTCCCCTCGCAATTTAGTAATGGATGCTGATTTTTCCTTTTGTTAATAAAGTTTATTTAATGTTTCTTAAAAATGGTCATACGTTTATCTCGATTTTTCTTTTGTACTTTCTCTTTTCCAGGTATATTGATGTCCACTTATTTTATACCGTATACAATTTATAACTTAAAATTTACCGTATAAATATAACGTTCCCTTGAACATATTTATAATTGGAATTTACTGTAGATGAGGTGTACAAATTAAAATAATGAAGCCATGATATTCAGACTTTCCATACATTCAGAATTTCCAAATAACAAAAAATGTTACATAAAGACATGTTTTATTGCAGGGAATTCAATTTGTATGCGAATGTAAGGCCGTGTAAATCATTAGAAGGATTTAAAACGTTATACGACAATGTAGATGTTGTGACAATAAGAGAAAACACGGAAGGTGAATATTCAGGAATTGAACACGAGATCGTCGATGGTGTCGTGCAGAGTATTAAATTGATCACTGAAGAGGCATCCAGGAGAGTGGCTGAGTTTGCTTTTAAGTTCACAAAAGAGCAAAAGAGGAAGAAAGTCACGGCTGTGCACAAGGCCAATATCATGTAAACTATTGAAAATTGAAACTTCACATAAATTTATAATCAAATTGTATTTTAATTTGCAGGAGAATGTCCGACGGTCTTTTTCTCCACTGCTGTAGGGAAGCAGCTGCCCTTTGTCCAGAAATAAAATTTGAAGAAAAATATTTGGACACTGTATGTCTGAGCATGGTACAAGATCCTTCAAAATTCGACGTACTTGTTATGCCTAATCTTTATGGAGATATTTTATCTGATATGTGTGCTGGTCTTGTCGGCGGTCTCGGTTTGACCCCGAGTGGCAATATTGGACTGAACGGAGCAATTTTCGAATCAGTAATAATCATTAAGTTCGAGATTAACGATCATTTTGTAAAAAATTAATAATCGTTTTAGGTCCATGGGACTGCGCCAGACATCGCCGGGAAGGATTTGGCAAATCCAACAGCATTGCTGCTATCTGCGGTCATGATGCTTAGGCATTTGAACCTACCTGATCATGCATCACGAATTGAAAAAGCATGTCTTGAAGTAATCAAAGAAGGTACATACAGGACTGGTGATCTAGGTGGAAAAGCTAAATGTTCAGAATTTACAGCTGCAATCTGTAAAAAAGTTTCGTAAAGAAACTAGATAAAATATAGATAATATATTGAAAAGCTGTTATGAGATTTAAAAATTTCAACACCTTATTAGACACCAAAAGTAAGTTATAACTCTAGTATGTTACTACTTCTTGTATTTTACTCTTAGCATATTTTTTTGTGATGTGATGATTGTAATTTATTTTACCATTTTTTTTGGAAGGAAAAAAATAACTCGGCATGATGAAAAAATTTGTATTTCATTATCACTATTGTAATCAAATGAAAAAATTACAGTATTATTTTTGTGCTATGTAAATGTGAAAAATTTTCACCTAGTCATTAAGAACGTATTGGAATGTTAGAAACAATGTTAAATAAAGCTTTTTTTTTGGTGTCTTTCGAAATGTAATTGTTATAACTGAAAAAAAAAAAAAAAATCATTTGACACGCTATTTATACATAATCCCATATTTCATTTGTGAAGAATAAGCAATAACTTTAACAATTGATCTTCACCAAGACACAAAAGTTTAACAAAAACACTTCTGCAGTAAGTTAGTAATATTTATAAAATACATTTCAAAGTTCTTAGGGTTGTATCCTAATTGTTCATGGAAGTCAAGGGTACATGTTTGTTCACATTAAATTATTATGTTGCTTTGGCATTTGTTTTGAAGATAGTGGATTCATTTCTTCCAAAACATTGTTAAACTGCAGTAAAAATTTGACCTTGTAAGATTATATGAAAAAATTATCACGGCTATTTTAAACTTGGCATAAAAATGGAAAACTCAGGTCAACATCACTGATGGCTCTTAAACCCAGTTATTTGGTCACTACTTTACAGAAAAGTGTGAATTTGAAATGGAAGATGAATTAAATATATTTAAAATTTGTAATTTGCTGTAATGTAAATTTTGCCCAGGACAAAAACAGTAAACACCACTCTGCAGTTTCTGCACCATTACTTTTTCCTACTTAGCATAAAATTTAGTCATTTTAGTTTGATGTAATTAAAGAAAAGGGTATACTACTAGAAAGCTTATGAAATGAAGAAATTGAAATTTTCCTGAATTTAGGTTTTTTTAATAAAAAATTAAATTGAGTTCTTGAACACTGGAAAAAAAAATTTTGGTTGCCCCAAAAATGAATAGTTCGAGAACAAGTAGATTTATAACAAAAATCATGTGAAAATCTATATGTTAAATATCTGCAAAAGAGTTGGGAATCGGACAAACTTTTTTGTTGCATTCAAGGTGTATAAGCACCTGATGAACTTTGTCATAGGAGTAGTGAATTACCTTATATTAATGCATGTAACAGTAACACATCTGACATACCAACCCAATGAAAATCAGTAGATAAAAATGATCAGTAAAAACGAAATTTCAGGTTCAACTTGCAGACAAGATGAAGAAATATCACTATAAATAAGAAGTCCATTACATTTCATGGTCCGTTGTCCAAATAACTTCTTTCAATTAATTAGCCTTAGGTCGTGGGCTCGAATCTCGCTTGTGACACTTTTTCATTTCAATACCTTACATTAAGATTAATTAATTGAAATAAATAAGACCAATAAAGATCGAAACATTGGTACGATAAAGAAAATGTTTTTCTGAAACTACATCACACCAGACCGCATCTCATGATTTCTGAATAATTAATAAATATTAAGGTTTAACTATTGAACTTTTATCCAAGTAATTTTATCCTGTTATGTTTTATAAATTAGTCAGATTAATTATTTTTATCCATAAATGTGCACTTCCGTTAAATTTTGTGGAACTACAAAGCAATTGTATATATTGTTCTTTTACGGCCAAATCTGATTATTACAATTCAATATGTAAATTTATAGAAAGAAATATTAAAATTTATTTTTTTAATAAACTTTTAATGCAACAAACATCTAATTGGCAACTGACAAACCAATCATGTAGTTTATTTATTTACTTTAATAAGTGGCTAAGTAGGTTTGATTCTTTTGTTGGACTTGGATTTTTGCCAATCTTTGTAGTGATCCTATTTTTTGACAAGATTCAGCTTGCTAATTTCCGTTAAGTTGCACGGTAGTCTTTTTTTTTGTGTTGTGACATGTATGGCGATGGCTGAAGAGAATCTTTGTTTATACTTCAGCTATTTCGAGCTTCAGTCGTTTTCATTGACTTCCAAGAGTATTTCCTGGATGCAGATAGATCTAGGCCTAAGTCAGATCACAGAGAAATAAGGAATGGTCCTTGAACTTCTTGTAACATCATACAATACACATCTCTAAACAAACTTCAAAAACCTACCACAGCATTGACATCCAAAAACGGCCATATTACTGATTAATTTAGAAAAAAAGCAATGCAAAAGTTTTCAAATATTTATTACATCATAAAATAGCAGTCTTTAATTTATTTTCATGGCAAATATGAACACATTTTTAAATATTGCTTATAAATAATACAGTTCTTACAATATACTTAATACACTTTAATACATACAATATTACAATTTGGCACAGTATGTTTCATTTGTTTATTATAAAAATAAGAGAATAAAAGTAAATAATATTATATGTAATAAGTGCCAAGTCAACAGTCTTGTTTCAAATTTAACTATCGTTTATTAAACATTTACGATTGATATGTCTCTGTTTATTTGATTAATATTGAATAAGACAAGAATGAAACTAGGTTTCCCATTTAGGCTGACATGAAAAAGTGTTTAAACAGCTAAAAGTTCAAAAAATAATACTTTGCAATGATGTATAATATTTTGGTAGCTATCATTTGGGATAAAAAGAAAATAGTTACATTAACATCAAATAAGGATGTACATTTCTTTTTTCAACTTAAATTACTGTATATAAATATGTATAATTAAATTTTACAAAATAAAATTTAAAATGTTTAATTAAATTATGATTAAATTCTTATTCAGTATGAAAGTTTGTAGTTGTAACAATTTACATAAACAGATGCTTTATCAACAAATTGTGTTAGTAAAAAATATAACATTAAACAAATCGCATGTCGATAAATTGCGATTTAATTTCTTCTACAATATGGAGAGGTTTACACCACGGATAAAATTAAAACCATTAATTAAGCGCAGTATTAACAATATTATAGTTAATTTGATGTTCATTATTACATTAATAAACTAATATAATGGTAACAGATTATTAAATTATAAACAATCATACTTTATTTATACCATTTGCCAAGAAAGAAATGCCACCTATTGACATAGTTGACTAGTTTTTCAATAAAATAACTTATCCAAAAATTATTAAATACTAACAAATTTAAATGGAAGCATCAACAAATATTAATGTCAACAATAAATATAGCTGAACTGTAATCTACTAATTGATTTTACTGGAAAATCTTAAACGTATACAATTAAAAGAGCTGCTCAGAAAAAGCAAACCTTTTTTTTTTTTTTAAAGGAATATTGATCAAACAATTTAACACTGAATGCATGGAACTTGTTTGTATAGTTATATTAACAATGAAACTAACAATACCGGGAACATTACTCAGAAGATCTACGATTAAGATGATACATTTATAGACAATTTTAGTTTTTCTTAAATGCATAAATTAGGTACTAATTTTATAATAAATATGCATATTAATGTTTTCAAACTTCTAAATTTCTCATATTAAACTAATGCTTATAAAAATTTTGGCAATGAATTCGCCCATACAAAAAAATTTTCATACACTTACAAATTATATAATCTGTTTGAACAACTGTGTTTCAGTACAAGCCACGCCTTTCTCTATTGCACTCCCTGATAAATGATATACATTATAATAAAAATATTAACGTCCAACATAAATCGTGTCTAATAAAAAATACAACAAAATCAAGTCAGTAGATAATTTTAAAGATTGTACCTTCCAACCGTTTCTGTATTTTCAGTTCAAGAGCATCACATCTACAAGAAATTCTAACAGTTCAGTGCGATTTGCACTCTTAAAAACCATTTAAACAATGTACATTTACTAAATTGCACAGTAGAATTTCTATAACCTTTCACTTAAGCAGTTCATGTTATTAAATTTTTATTACGAATTTCTGTTTTTATTTATCCACAGCCCAATCAAACCAAGTAAAAATCAGCCCTATTTTTCAATAAGTGTCAAGTGTTAATATCCCAAAAAAATTATATACTTGAACTAGAATAGTGTGCAAGGCATTTGGTAAAATATTTAGCATAAAAGCTCGGGTTTAGTGATAAAAGTTTGGGGAAAAGCAATTTTTGAGATAGGGATAGGGGAAAATGTCGACTTGGAAATTTGGTAAACTTTACTTCATTTGAGTCTTTCAATTCAATAATAAAAACAATCAGATTTTTAAAACTACAAGAAACACTTAATGTGAAAAAAGTCCCACAAGTTGATAATACCATGACTGCTTGAAATGTCTGCAATGCACTGGGCGAAATAATTTTGGTAAATGTTTAGCGACAAACTTTGGGGGGGAAGGCAATTTTTAGCATGCAATGGGAAAGCAAGACAAAACCTTGTTAATTTGGAAAACTTTACATCGTTTGAAGGCTTTTAACTTCAATAATAAAAAAATAATGATATTTAAAAACGACGAGAAACACTTTGTAAAAAAAAAAAGTTAAAAATTCCATGGCTGCTTGAAGTTAGCAATGGACTTGGTGAAATAATTTTAGCAAATGTTTAGCGACAAACTTTGGGGAAAAAAAGGCGATTTTTGATATACAGATTGAGAATGCAAGACAAAACCTTGTTAATTTGGAAAACTTTACATCGTTTGAAGGCTTTTAACTTCAATAATAAAGAAATAATGATATTTAAAAACTATGAGAAACACTTTGTGGAAAAAAAAAGTTAAAAATTCCATGGCTGTTTGAAGAGTTAGAAATGCACTTGGTGAAATAATTTTAGCAAATGTTTAGCGACAAACTTTGGGGAAAAAAGGCGATTTTTGACATACGGATTGGGAAGAAAAGTCAAAACTTTGTTCATTTGGAAAACTTTACATTGTTCGAAGACTTTAACTACAAATATAAAGAAATCAGATTTCAAAACTATGAGAAACACTTTGTGAAAAAGTTAAACAATTTCATGGCTGCTAAAAGGCTTAGCAATGTCCTTGGTGAAATAATTAAGAGTAAATATGAGGTTTAAAACAAATTATAAAAGTTTACAAAAAAAATGTGGGGTAATAATGTCAGCCCACATATCTAGTTTGCCAAGTTTGAGATTTTCAAGAAATATTTGAGTATCAAAATGCTAAGTAATTTTATAAGAAACTTTAAAGGATGACACTTTTAGAGTGACATGGTGTCAGTTAACATATCATTGACATACTTCACTGGTCTTAACAGCCAGTGACACAAAATATTTGTGCCTGGCAAGAGAAATTCTACTGCGGTTATAAATGTAATTTTTTAAAATGTTGTTACAGAAAAAACATTTCTAAAACTTTACCACCTCATTACTTGGAAGAACGGTTTCTAGACTAGAATTTAACATAAAAATAAAGCTCTTTTACAAAGTGGCTAATCTTTCCATCTTGCTGAAGTCAGGAACGGTCCTTACGAAAGTTTTCTTCGCCTGCTGCGGTTTGTAGTAGATGTGGGAGCTGTTTTTGGAGCAAAAGCTCCGGTTCGATCTCGTAGCGAAAGACGGTGTTATGGAGTCAGAACTTTGTGTCACTACGGTGTATCGGTACGGTTCCGGCCCTCCGACCGGGCGCATTTCCATCTGGGGGCAGGACGCCTGGCTCAAACCGGTGCAGTTGTACTTACGGAGAAAACAGAGAAGGACGCCGAGCATGAATATCATGTACGTCACGCCAAGAACACCACACAGGATCATGTATCCGTCCAAAGTTTCCAGCGGTATCATGCTTTACACTTGGATCATTCATCCTTTTCTGAATCAGCGAAAGCCCCTTTTGAAAAAAGTACGACGCATTGTGTTCACAGGTGTTTACGGCTTGTGTACGCTGTCATACGAAGAATCTATGTTGTCTCTCGCGACAGAATGTCAAACATGAAAGCGCATGTTTCAGTGATGCCCTGTCAACACTGAACCCGACAAAAAAAATTTCCCCGTTTTTATTCTCTTTACAACATAAATATAAACTAACATTACAAAGATCTAACAGCAAAAATTATATCAGAGATCAATTTCTATCACAAATAAACAAGATTTTTAAAAAAAGTCTGCAACGATAGAATTGTAACCTTAATTTTCTACTATTTTTATGGTAGGTGTTTTATCATTTAATGCTTAATACAAAAAACATGCTGAAACCTTTCTAACAAATTTGAAAAACTTAATATCACCTAAGTCATAAGTTGTAAATTTTACCTGCCTAACTATAGACTTTTTAGTATTTCCTGGGTTTCTTTAATCATTTGGGTCAATGGAAATGCAATATATGCTAAATATACAGTTATATTTAGTCTATTAATAAACTATCTTTGACAGATTTAATTTACAATCGCACTGCCAAAAATATAATATTGAATTGTACTGTATATCAAAAATTTTCGTAATGCTACGTGTGCACCTTTACAGCACGTCCTCTAGTGGAAACGATTATGCATTATTTACTGGAATATAGTTTATTATGGTTTAAAATAAAAATTAACAGTACGGTGCCGCCAAGTTGATTGCTTGCTTTGTAAGTAATAAAGTTTCAAGTTTCAGCCTCCAGGTAAAACTTTTTCATGCTGACTTATTTACAATCATATACTAAATAGCCGACTTTACTAATGAAAGAGAAAAACATTACCCATAAAATAATAAAACAATACATAGATAAACTGGTGAAACTATACATAATTAGTAAATTAATTTGAAAAAACTGCACATATGATTATTGGTTGTAATTGCTGACTTATACAAGCTAAAATCTGCACGTGCATGTACATGCGTATATATATATATGTAGTTGAGCTTATCACTTCTTGCAGTCCACCGGCAATTCCAGCTTTTGTAATTTACAATGAATTACCAGCAGGCTTCGACAGTCAGTCACCTTGGGCCCGGGGTAAGATCTTGCTCTTATCTGACCAGCCACCAAAGTTGGGATCTGGGTGCCGTTCATTCTCCAATCCATTCCTACCTAAAACCAAACCATACTCTCCAACTCGCCTTTAAATAAGTTCTTTCTTATTTACATACCCTTTCTCCACCACCCTTTACACCTGTTACATAACCAACCTAATTGAGTGTCGTTGGGTACTCAATGTTACACCATTGGCCCTCTCACACTATTCACGCTAATAAATACATTCACTTTTTAACACACACTAGGGACATAAAACCATCATTGCATCAATAAAACAACCCTTTTCCTCCAAGAATCGGAAAACGAGGCTAATATACTCGTTGCCATTCTCATGTTCAATTCTTATATTGGGTGGGTTTCCTATATGCTCTTTATATGGGGCCAAGGAATTGCACCCTTCAAGTAGGTGAGTCCATTGAGCAACCTTTGTCTATATGCCGGACACATATGCAGGCTTCTGCCCAAAAGTAAGGCGAAGTACAATATAACACAGGGACATTCAGACGGGGAGATTGGGAGGCGACCAGTATGAGATATATGAGTTTTAGTCGCTTGGGATGTTCGGTCGCTTGATTATAAGGCAACTGACAGAACGTTGCACAGCATAGTGTCATTCACACAGTTCATACTGTATCGAGCAGATCGCCCCATTCTACTTGTTTTCATAAACCTTTTTTGAAACTTTTAAAAAATGGATAGAAGTGACATTTTTGATAACGACAAACGAATTTCATTAGTTCAAACATATCCCATGCTTGGAACAACAGTGCCAATGGATATTAAATGCCAAAGAGCTACAGCTTCTATTGTCCATTATAAAAATACGAGAGAATCAAATATCTATGTCTTTAAACCGCTTCAGACAAAATCTAGAAGGATGTTGCGGAGGCAACTGAATCTAGTCATCAGGATACTTTTTTGTCACATGCCGGTTTCGCATAGCATATTTCATACTGATTACCTTTGGGTAACCGGGCCTAAGTGGCGTGCCCCACATGGCCTATCCTTAAACGGCTGAGGATTAGGATCTCTTGATTTGCGAGAGCTTTTTTTTGCAAATCCAGCCCACTGACAGTGCCACTTTCTTTTAATCATATTTTTTATTGCATTTTAAATGTCAGGAGGCTGAATCGGGGTGGATAAGTCTGGAGGTTGGGATGTCCTGGTCTTAGCCACCTCGTCCGCCTTTTCATTCCCCTCCACAATTTTGCCTACACTCCAGTTCATGGTATTTTTTCAACAAGTTCAACAAAAGACCTGTCATGCACAGTAGTTACTATGCTGAAGGAGTCAGTACAAACAAGGTAGACAGAGCTACCATCATACATTGCATATTATTTAGTCATGTAAACACTATCATGCACCCTCATGATACATAGCATACACACCACACCCTTGCCTATCTTCCTAAAAACCTCGATAATTCAAAGAACCTAGCTCAGGGCAAAGGAATGGCAGAGTTGACTTCGCTAACACGGTGAGTTCACCTGGGATGAGTTGCCTGAGAGGACCCAGGGCCCAGTTCGAGCACTGTTCCCTGTGTCAACCCTGCCCTCCATAAGGCTTCACTGAAGACCCATGGCTCACAGCTGGTTGAAGTCGCTCGTATATTCTGCTGACTGGCATTAAGGATTACATCAGTTGTCCCAAATGAGAATTAACTGCTCTCTCCAAAGTTCAGGCTACCGTGCTTGTAGTATAGGCTGGCCAAAGGGCTTGTTCTAAACGCTCCAGCGACTGCTTGAAGTTCCTAATAGTAGTTCCTATCAAGCTTCTTCAAGCACTTTTTTTGGGCTGAAGAATAAGCACAGACCTCAACCTGACGTGGGACTTTCACTTTCTCAAGATGAGCAAGCGAGGTAATTTCTCTCAGAACTGGTAATAAGTGGAGCAATAAAAGACGTTAAATAAGGCCTAATGACAAGGATTACAATATATTGAATTTTATGCAGGAAAGCATTTCTGGACAGGAAATCAAATTGTTTAATAACTTCAATGGGAAAAAAAATTTGTTCTAGAAAATGCCTGTCGAACAAATCCAGTACTCTGACAGATATTCAGATAACGTATTTGAGTACAGGCATGTTACTTTACCAGCTAACATTGCAAAGCTTGTCCCGAGGAATCATAGTATGACTGAAACAGAATGGAGAAATTTGGGGATCCAACAGTCTACAGGTTGGATTAATTATCTTCAGCACACTTCAGGTACGCTTATTTATATCTTTATAAAGGGTTCAATTTAGATTTAAAACTTTCAATTATTTACAGAACCTCATGTGGTGTGTTTTCGGAGACCTCTTCAGCGACACGAGCCATAAGAGGTGCTATATCCATTATCATCACTAATGAAACAAAATAAAAATATTGGATTATAAGTTATAACTTAACCTCACATTGTAAATTAAATAAATATCTTTTTTACAGCAGTGCATGTTTTAAACGTATGCAAAACTTTTTTTTCTACAGAATCTTTTGAAATTTAATGAATAACAATAAACCGTTTTATTACTGAATGAAGGCTTTTCAAGAAAGTTATACTTCCAACTTTTCTTTTTTTTTTTTCAGCCTAGAAATTAAAGAATAATAGGCCAGTACAAATAAAGGTGCAACAGTCAAAGCCAGGAGGAAAAACTATAAACAAAACTTACATGATTTGTGAGGATAATTTGCAGTCAAGTTATTTCTCTGTTTGTTTCAACATTAAATCAAATTCACGAGCGGGATTCGAACCCACAAGACCTCGATCCACTTGGACACTAACTTCCCATCTCAACCCCACCTTTTGAATTTTCCCTCCTTTTTGCCATTTTTCAAATGTCGTGCAATTACACAATTATTACACGACAAGTTAGTTCCAAGTGGATCGAGGTCACGATAGCTCAAGTGTTCAGCGGCGTATCTAGCCGAAGATCGTGGGTTCGAATCCCGCTCATGCCATTGACTTTTTTATCTCAACTAAAAACCTTAATTAATTGTAATATATTAATTGGTCAAGCGGACCACGAAATTAGTGAATTTATTAAATCAAACATTTAGTGGTCAACAAAATTTTTTTTTTAAATATTCATTTTTCTCACATTTTCCCAATTTTCTTAACTTTATAACCTCTTTTTGTTTCTTCTGGTTCTCAAATTATATTAAAAGAACAAGAAGACAATTAAACACAAATCGATTTTTGTGCTCACCCGGACAATGCTACGAGGAACCACCACAATGTCCCAGTGAAAAACAGGAAAACAAAAACCCCAGAAAATGCTGGAAGTGTACGTTTGGCATCATGATAATGGATATTCCAATGACTGGTACCCCTTTACCTCCCAACACAAATCTGGTTAAATTAAAGTAATTACAACTAAAAATGATTGAAGAATTTTAATTAAAAAATATATATTGCACCAGACACATTTTACAAAAGTAGTATTCATTCCATATAGGAAACTGCTTATCTGTTTTCCGTCAATCGCAATACTATATCAAAGCAATTATCACAATCAAGTATCCATGTTTCAATCTTATCTAAAATTGTCATACTATCCTTATGGACCTTTGCAGATTTTCTCTTATACTTCACTTCCTTAATCATCTTATCTAAAACGTAATGAAGCCATCGTACATTTGTTTTAGGCTCAAATATATCCCACTCGTTGCTATAAAACAGAATACAATTGAGATTAATTTGAAAATATTTTACTTTTAGTGAAACATTTTAAATAATTACTTAAGATCTTTCTTCATGTGCCTATAAATATCAAATTGGTAGTCTCCAGTTGCGATAAACATCTCAGGATCTTTACCAATATCACAGTAAATTGGTATATCTTCTTTGTAAAGAACTCTTGAAAGGGTAAAATCAATTATGGTTGCCTAAAAAATAATCAAATTGGAATCTAGAGTTTGGTCAGTTTCATTACAATTTATATTTTACCTTAACTCCATTGGTCGTAACCTTAAATTCCTTATTGCCAATCAGATATTTCATTTCCCTCTCGATTGTTCCTGAAATGAGGATATTTCCCCAATGCAAATCCCTATGCTCAAACTCACAGCAAGCCTCAGCTACAGCTAAACTAAAAGCAGTCTAAAATCATTTTAAAACTGTTAATAGCATTTTAAATTTTACTTGTATTATGTATGTTTTAAAATTAAGGTTTTACCTGTTTAAAAATGGACAAAGCCTGTTTTGCTGTACTAAACGAGTAACTTTCCAGATCAGTACCACCATGAGCTAGTTCCAAAGTAAGATATAGTTGATTATCCCCAAAAATTGTTGGGTTATCATTATCTGATCCTGAAAAAAAAACAATTCATATTTTCAAAATGATGAATAAACTAAATTTATCATTAGTTTTACCTGTTTTAACATCAAATTCCTCCCAAAGCCTAATGAGTTCTTCAGGATATCTTCCCTGTACAATCTTAGCAGAAATAAGTTCAACAAAGCCTTTTGTCATAAACTGCTCAGTATCTCCTCGAAGCCCATTGAGTAAACTGTAAGAAGAAAATTATGAACAATGCTGTTCACAAGATGTTATTAAATAAAATATTACTGGGTAATAAGAAGTTCAGAGTAAATTTCGCTGTAAGTTTTCTGTTTTTCGCCATTCACAGGAAAATCACCTTCAATAGGAATTATTTTCAAAACAGATTTTTGTTTTTCTTTCATAATGAGAAATACCTCGCCAAAGACCCCTTCTCCAACTTTTATAGAGTTTTTAAAGATTCTAGAAGCATAGTTAAAAAACTATTATAAAAATAACTAATCTTTAATATAAACTTATTTACTCTTGAGGGTAAATTTCACTAAAATCGCATGGCTTTGTCTGGTTACATAGGAAAAAGACAATTTCAGCGTAATCTGACGATTGGGAATAAGTTTGTAATGAAGAAAATACATTAGACGATCTTTTAACTTTTTCATCAATATTTGGCACACCTAAACAAAAAAATCATCATTCCCTGTTTTTATGTTTAATAGCATAACTTTATTTACTTACATAACATTTCACTTGGAGAATTAAGTAAAGGGGACTTTATATCTGGTAATGAATTCTTTAAAAACGACAAACTTGTGTTTCTCATTATGGGTGATCTTGTCGGAGAAGAAAGTTGAAATGATATACTTCTTTTTCTACGCGTAGGTGTGAACTGTCTCAATAGAGATGATCTTAAACTAAGTTTTTTCTTGATAATATTAGTAGGAGTAGAAATCATAGTTTTATCCCCTAAAACACATATATTTCTTTACAAATTGATAATTTGTATGTTAAGAAGGAATATCAGATTTCAATTAGAGCTTACCAATTTTTTGTAGTTTAATCAATTTTTCAACAGAGTTTTCATAGTTTCTGCCTTTGGGAATGTTAAGAGTCATATCACCTTCTAAATGCCGAATAATTGAAATTGACCTCCTGTATTTTTTACCAGGAGGAATGACAAAATGTTCAAGAGGTAAAGGTTCGTCATTTAACTCAGACGTAGAAAATTCATCAGACTCTTCAATTACATTATTTAATTCTGGAATTATTGCAGGCCTTAAAATATTTCTACGTCTTGTAGGCGAGATTGATTTCATACGATAGATTAAAGGTGTACAATCATAACTGTCATTATCTATATTGTTATCGCAGGATATTTGAGTATCATTCTTCCCTGATTCATCAGCATCTTCTTGATTTTCAGGCAACGGTTCAAGGTTAGATGTACGGTCACAAATGCTAAATTCCAAAGAAAGATTTCTTTTAGACTGTGCAGTTGTTAATTTAATAGAAGGGGTGTTATCCAAATTTTGACTACTTTCTTTATCAAAAAGACTTGTAAAAGAACTCGTTCCATCTTCAGATAGTTCTTTCATAAAGCTCTTTTGTCCTGGAGTTTTAAGTTCCAAATCCCGGCTCCCAGGAGTGACTAAACTTTGTTCAAAAGAATTCAAACAGGTAGATCTTTCTGAAAACATTTCAATACTTTTCTCATTTATAGTTTCTGCTAACTGTGACACACGCTCAGGGCTTAAGGACTTTGCAAAAATATTTTCATTGTTGGAATTTGAAGAAAGGGCGGAGGAAAATTGCTGTTTTTTCTCTTTGCCACTTGAAAGACATAGATAATTTTGATTAACTTGATTTTGACTACATTTGATCACAAATGATGAAAAACCATAGAAATCATTCCCCTGTTCTGAATTCTGCGAGTTTTCTTGTACACTGCTAAAAACACTATTTTCCTTTGATCTTGTTTTAAGCAAATCATCATGAATTCTGTTGCCACGTTCATTTTGATCTTTTGTTATTTCTATATCTCCAACACACGAATTAAAATTGTCTTGAGACGACACATCATCTTCCTTTGCATTTGGAAGAGACACTTCATCTACTACTTTATCAGTACTATTTTTACATTTTTCTAGTGAACTATCACATTTTTCATTAAATTTACAATTGATATCTACTACTGAATCGTTGTTTTCATCCGCAACAGTCTTCTCTTTAATATACGAATTTGTCGGGCTGACAGTGAGCAAGTTAAATTTCTGCATCAAATTTAAAACTGGTACGGAAATTTCATTTGTAAGAACATTTATTGGCGAACATGGGGTCTTGGAATTGAATTCAGGCTTGGCACTCATTTGTGGAGTACTTGCAGCAAAACAATGTTTTGAAGAGCATGGACTAGGTTTTGGTGATGAATAATTGTCTAAAACGCATCTAATTTTTTTATCAAGTTCAGTCTTCTTTTTGTTTTTGCCACACGGCTTTAATTTTCCATTTAACAATTTTCTTTTCTTTTTCTTTTTTATGGCACATAAAACGGGATCTATAACACACAAAAAAAAATAAGTGTAATTACTTAAGTTAACTAATACATACTCTTTAAGAGCAATTTTTATATCGCTTTTAGTACTATTAATTGTTATAAATTACCAAAAGAATCATCACTGCTAAAACAAAGTATACTCGATATACTCGGTGTTTTGACATTAGAGCACTTTCGATCACTTTTTCCATTCCCTTTTCTAAAGAATTTAGGATTCGGTGATTTGTACTGAACGTATTGCACATCAGAATCAGGCCTGAAAGTGGACAAAGAAAATTAATTGCAAATTAAAAATATAATAAAGGCAACAATTACAATTATTTATGCAGAATATAGAAAATGTAAAAGATTGTAAATTAGCCAAAAATAAAACAGCCAGTCTTAAGGTTAGGGATATAAATATTAAACCTAATGACAACTTTTAGGATTTTTCTGCTATTCCACAATCGCAGATGTCATTAAGGTGTCAGGCAATAATGCGTAGTGGCAGCAATAAAGAATCAAAATATAAAATTTTAAATATACACAGTAATTATGATGAGAACGATGGTGTGGGCCTCGTAGACAAACTAATTTGTACAAATTTGATGGTGTAAGGCCACTGAATGTATTATCCCGAGTAAGGATTAGGATTAAATCATTAATACCAAATTTATCAAAAGATTTTTTCCAGACCAGTTTCGACTAATCTACAGTCATCTTGATACCCATTAAAGTTAAATACAAGTTCCACCTGGTTTTAATACATAAGTAATTGACTTGTAGAATGATTTTGTTGAATTAATTTATTGTCGTTGTAATTTGTTTTCTTTATTAAATTAGAAAATTCCGCCGAAGATGTCTACAGATTAGTCAAAACTGGTCCGGATACTAATCCTCTTTCAGGATAATACATTCTGTGGCCCTACACCATCAAATTTGTACAATTTCTTTTTTTTTTAATACACACATTTAATCTACTTAAAAGTTTGAATTACTGTGCATTACATAAAATAAGGCTTAAAATTTTTCATATATAACTGTACATCTTGACACCACTACCTCTTCATGAGTTCATGATTATTCTTACGTTTTTATATATATTAGAAACGTATGACTAGGTCTCAAAAAAGATGCTTCATGAAGATCACGAGCAACGAGGGGAAGTCGTTTAAGTGGTTAAAAACTGTGAGGTACCTAGGGATCACTCTTGATACCAAATTGAATTTTGGTGCTCAGGTAATCTGGTAGGCAACGGGAAAGCGGCTGTACGAACAATTTTCCCATTGCTCTGAATGGAGTCTGGCATGAGGCAACGCAATAATCTACTAATATATATATAAGGGTTTATTAAACCAATGTTGCTATATGCATACCCAGTATGGAATTTTACCAGTAAAACGTATCTCAATAAATTACAGGTAATCCAAAATAAATTTCTGCGGCTGGCCACTGCCTCTCCCAGATATTATAAATTGACAGATCTAAACAAACGAACTAACATGAAATGTGTAGGGGAGGAAATATTCGATGTCAGCAACTCATTAGGCATATGAGTGTCTCCTCAAATCCCATTTGCAGAACCACTGGTTGCAAATTGAAAACATAAGAGGATCAAATACAATGTACCTGGATTATAAACTTGTCATAGTTATCAACTTCATAGTTACAAAAATATTTATTTATGTATTTAATTACTTATTTACTTCTCATCTGTATGTAGTGTTTTGGATAAATTTTTTCCCACAAATTTCTCATATCTCTTTGTATATAAAAATGATTAGTTTTAAATAGTAGGAAGCCATAGTGGAACGTCACTTTCCCTACATTCTAAAATTCTAGTATATATTGTATTGCACATGTACAAATAAAAAATTATTCTATTCTATTTTACGAGCGTAAAGTTTTTAAATTATCAGAAACTTACGAGTTAAAAGTTGAATTTTTAAGTGGTTTCTCTTTGTCGGACGAAGATTCGAAAATGTTCGAGTTGGACGAAGTGCCTGAATTTTTGAAAAGTCTGTCGAACGAATCTTTTTTCCTCAGCGTGTAAATAGGCGGCACTTTATTAAGTGTCCTCCGTCTCAGAGGAGGTTTTTTGCTCGGCCCCATTTTTCCGATTTTTTAAAACAAAATTCAACAGTTGTCCCTGACGGTATCCAAAAAAGTAAACAATAACAATATTACAGCAGCTTTTAACCTTTACCAATTCCTTATCTAGCGTCGTTACTCCATACTCCATATCCATAGTCCATAGTCCATGGTATGCCTCCTACCATGTTGTACTTACAAACTACAAACTTACTTTCAAAAACGAAACTCTAAATATGTTTATATTTTTGAAAATTATTAAGTTTTTAATATTGTCTTTCTTCTTAATTATCAAGAGTTGCCTGTAGCTAAGAATCCTAATTTTTTAAAAAGTAGTAATAAATATTCATTTCTGCAAATAATTTTTGCTCTTTTCAACACAAAAATGTCCTCCAATGTAGTTTATATTCTTTATAAAAATGTTTAAAAAAATGAGAACAATAATTACAATATTGCACTAAGACATTTAATATGTTTAAATATTAACAAAAACAACTCCATTAATGGAATGAAAAATTTGTTATAGTGGGGATTAAAATATATGTTATGTGTAAAACAAAAACATTTGTGTATATAAACCTATTTCTGTTCTATAGTTTTAATTAATAAACTGCATACAATTATTTTTTTAAGAGGCAAATAATCTGGGAGGGATAATTATCAATTTATATGGACAATTTATATCCACCATGAAAACACAATATGCAAGAAATATATGAAACAAATATATATCAATATAACAATAATATTGCTTTATTATTTTAAAAAAAGTATTTGAAGTTAATGATGAGCATACATTAACAAAATATAGGTAAAAAATAAAATTAGAAACATCTCAATACACAAATCAAAAACGCAACAGGAAAATTGTTAAGAAGAAAATACGTTCAAAGACAAACACATTATATATCATCAACAATTTTTCATATAAACAGGGCATATAGAATGTGTAAAAATGAAAGAATTCGCTTAATATGAATTATTAAAGATTTTCCATCATCTACAGTCTAAATGTAAAACTTTATTAAAAGAATTTATTTTGAGAGGTTAAAATGTGACTAGCAACAAAAAATAAAATAAAATCTTGTAAAAAGAATTTCATTCTTTCTCCCTATTCACTTCTAAATGGAATTTCTAAATTGTTTCTTTCATTCTTTTAATTTTTCCTTTTCTTTTCAGTTTGTCCTTAGTTAGCGTTTTCCATCTGTTTTACCTTACTCAAGTCCATACTGTTTTCATTATAACAGTTTTCTTAAGTTTCCTCTTTTTGGCTTCTCCTATTCTTTTTTGCTAACTATAAACAGCCTCAATCTCTTCAGCAGCTTCTTTCATTTTTTTCTTCTTTTGGGCTTTTATAGGTGAAATTGGGAGAATAATAGATCATTTAAGAACATGGAAAAGAGTAAATGTCCGAGAATATAGCCTTGAAGTTCACTAGCTGAAATTGATTGAGAAGAGGAGATATAATTTGAGGCTTTAATTCTCTGAGTTCTGTCTGACAAAATAAGGGGAGGTAAGATAGTAGCAGACGAAAAACTGAAATACATTGAACACTCAATATTGATTTATTCAATAGAAATCTTAAGAAAATTAAAGTATACCTAAATAAATAAAATCACCTTTCTAAAATCGCCTTTAAGGCAAACCTGTCACATATTGTGAACTTTTTTAAATTTCCTACTAAGAACATATTTTTGTATTCATGGGAAAGATAACTTCAGAATTTGTAATAGTTTATATTTGTTTTGGGTTATATATTAACAATATATTGTTTAATTCTAATTCATGAACTATAATTGTAGGGTCATCTTGATTGTAGGGTGTGCATAAATATTGTTATAAATTAGATTAATCATATATAAGATTATTAATTTGCCATTGGAAAGTAGTGTATTTGTTACATAAGAAATAATTAATTAATTTTTCTACGTAATTGCTGTTTGTAAGGTTGTAGTCACAATAAATCCTTGTTAAAAACGTTTGAAACTTACCAAAGCCACATGTTGAGATTAAGTTTCTAGACCATTTAATCCATATGCAGACAGCATTCCACTATTCGACATGCCATTTGGTATGGGACCTTCACTTTAGTTTAATAAAAAAACAATATCTTGTTTCTTCGGATTGAAACAGACTCAACAGCTGTTTGCAATATGTACAAAAACATACTGTCCAAGCAAAGTATTAAAATTATGTTTTTTTTCTAATTTCTCCTTTAATTGGTGTAAATCAACGACAATAAATACAACTTTGTGGCAAATGTTTAGAATGTCTCTAACAATATGACAGTGTCAGTTGACATTTTCAAAAGATGCAGCACTGAACATGGCGAAATGCTGAAACACAGACCGAACCAGCAAGGAAAGGCAAACCAAAATGATCAGAAATGACCAAAATATGTTACATTTTCTGTTAAAATGATAAAATAAAATTTTGATTATTGTTATGGATGTAGTAGTATTTTCTTTGTTGTCATCAACCTGCTTCTTGTGACTTGAACTCAATAAAGTGTATATATACTTCTTTGTTTGTAGTTTAGCAAAGAAATAAACTAAAGAAGACTAAAGTTTAGTAAATAAATAAACTGAATAAGGTTAAATAGTACTATAATTTGAAATAATAATAAAATAACTACTCATAAGAGATGTAAAAAAAATGTTTTTGCAATTAATACGCCATTGATTACCAGCTACCCTCATTGTTGTTTTGCGTTTAAATAATGCTACTACCAATTTAAAAAACTGGAACATTTTATAACAGAAATTGTGTGTCCTAAAGAAAAAAAATTGTATAACTGAATTTATTCAAATGACACAGGTGTTGTCCTAGTTGAATTTGATTTATACTATTTTTCCCTTAAGAAATATAACATATAATAGACTCTCTTTATCCGTGCTTTTGTTAACCACACATTCACTCATCCATGGTTGAGAATAATTAAAGAGAATAATAAAAGAATGACTAATTAGAATTCATCACATACAAAAAAGAAAAAAATGAAGAATAGGATAAATAGTTGAAAAACTTAATTTAATTTGTATTTTCCTTTAAAGTTTATCTTTTCACCAAAATTACATTATTGGAAGAATCCTCTTGAAAACTTTTCTGCAGGTTTTTATTGAGGCAAGTTTGGCATTATAGTACTCCCTGAGCCTAAGAGAGAAATCTACTTTAACCTTTTGAGGGTCTTTGCAAAGGTGTTGGTGCTGATGGGTCATCCAGTTTTCTGGAGTTTTGTGAGGGGGGGAATTAGTTTGAACTTCAGATGATTGTAAATTATTGTAAAATAATTGCTGCAATTTTAATATTTGCTCAATATTTTCTATTGGTGTAGCCAATTAATGCTCTTGGGTTTGCATAAAAGGCTTATTTTTTTTTGTGTGTGTTAATATTGTGAATTTTTTGTTATCTTGCGTTGAAGAATTTCCATAATTCTTGTTTTTTTGGGGGGATAATTCCAGTGATTGTTATTCTGTTGCAAATCTGTTATAATTTCTGTTGATATTTGAGGATTTGTTGGTGAAAAAAATAAATAAAAATCAAAATTGAAAGGCGTGTTATCTATAAGGATTATAATTGTTATGATTTGGATATCCTGCATTTTAATGATTTTGATACCTTTCAAATAATCTGTCTAAATAAGTATTGTTGTTGTTGATTTGCACGTGCTTTTTGTTTATTATTATAGTTATCTCTAATTGTTGAATGAAAATTTATGGCAGGATATGCAGTCCCATTTTGTTGGAAGCCATTGTGAGTTTTTTTTTTAGGGAATGTGCATAGTGGATTTGTTTATATAAGCATTTCTTTCATTCATAATGATTTTGAATGCTTTGATTTTATTAAAAAAAGGTGATTGTAGGTGGTTATATTTTCCTTGTTCCATAAAAGTACCAAACATTTACATAAAAAAGAATGTACATAAAGGTATCAACTATTTCAAGTTATTGTTTAAACATTTGCTCTTTGGCCTTAGCTTGTTGCCTTAGCCATAAACTCGAGGACTCCAACTGGAAACCAACCCCAAACATAGGTTGGAATACGAGAACAAATTTTACCAATTGTACTATTTTTTAATTAAACTCTGATAACTGAATGAGTAATGAATGATTACTGAATTTTTTTGGCAATGTTTTGAGAGGGTGGTTTAAAATTAAACTAATTAAATTTTATTAAGGATAAATGAGAAGAAAGCACAGCATTATACCACCTTTTGTCTGTCAGACTCAATGAAGATGGCATAATGCACTAACAGAGCAAGTTAGCAAGGTAGATCTTAAACCCTTTTTATCGACTTAAAAAAAAACTTGCACTGTTTAAATAAAAAGTACTAAATTTGTCACAAATAAATAAAAATTGATTATATAATGAATGTTCTATTAACAAAAATGTATTTAGGACATAGTAATTAAGCAAATGTAAACAGTTAATAACTTTTATTAATGAAGTCTTACTTTACAGTTTAAAAAAAAATGTGAAGTCATTTTACTTTCTTGTTTAAAAATAATTATAACAAAAACAGAATTTAGTGGATAATCACACTTACAGCACAATTTTATTTTCTATTTCAAATAGTTTTATTGCATGATTGATGGGAAAATATTTGTCAAAAAATGGTTTTATAAAATATTAAATTCTTGTATTATAGTTTTTACACATTAGATCGATCTGCTATACAGTCATGATCCACGCCAAAGGTTTATACAAATTAATAATTAAGTTATTTAACAAAAACATGTTTTCCAATAGTTAAATCACTATTGTAGTTTATTTTTTTTCTTATAGCAGTATTGCGTTGTTACAATCATTTTCGCAATAGTTTCATTTGCTATTAAATAGGAAACTACAAGACTTATGTACATATTTACAATTAAATTATATACAAAAAGTCATGTACAACAACATACTAGTTAGTAATAAAAAATAGCAATTTGGTAATTATGTACAGAGATTCGAAAAAGAACATCTTAAATTGCGGAATGGAATCCAGCGTGGATGTCATTAAAAGTCCCCATATCGACTTCTCTTGAGAACTCACTGAACAGTGTGAAAAAAACAAAACACGACTTACACAGCCAGAAAGACTTTGAAAGAAAAGATCAAAAGACAAAATCTTTTATTCCGTTTATTATTCAATTTTGATTTAAAATATATTTTAATAAGACAATTTTGTTTAAAGAGATTCAAGAAAATTTATTAAATTTCTTATTCAATTGACGATGAAATGAAAAACTATGCTGCAGTATGACAATAATGCAATAAGATAGCATTTTATTTTAACTGGCTAGTTTCAATTTTGAAAACTTTCATTACTGCTAATAATTAAAAGTCACAATTTTACATTACAATTGAAATCAGATCTGTAAGTTTGTTAATATTCATTTGTTATAATACTTTAAAACAACTGTGGCAATTACATATGCACTTTAATCCAAATGCTTATACTATTTATTTATGTATTTTTTTAATAATAAAGAGAAACAGTACATTTTTGTTTAAAATACAATGAAAACAAATTATAAAGGTATTTTTACAACAAAAATAAACAGTTTCTTATCAATACAGTTCAGTGAAATAATTTTAACACACTAAATTGGTATATTTTTACCTGGCTTAGTTTTCTTTTCATATAGCCTCTACTCAAAAAATCTATGCATCATTATCTAGAAGAAATGCTTAATACTATTAATAAATAACTGCTTGTATCCTTTTGGTAGAAAAAAAATGTTCAAAGCATATATTTCTTGCTTTTGACAATTAAAAATAACATTCTTCTTGTTCAAATAATGAAAATGACATTTAAATAAATAAAATGTATATAATACAAAATCATAAAAATTTCTGCCCCACTTTTTTTTCTTTTTTTTTAGTTTCATACTCAAATCTGTGTAGCACTATTCAAGTTACCAATAGTGAGTATAACGTGTATCAGGAGGCCAAGAAATACTATGCTGCTTGTTACATGAACTGCAATCCTGTTCCAACGGCCAGCAAGATGCATTGCTGACCGCTGCGTACTCCTAGCTTTGGCTTTCAGACAGTCTCGGTCGCTTTGGAGCACTTTCACTACCGCCTTCCATTACATATCTATAAATGAAATTATTTATTATAAATATTTTTATACTATCACTTTACAGCAATAATAATTGTCTAACTTACTTTAATTGAGGCATGTATTGCATGACATCTTTGAGTTGTATGAGTGGCAAAACGTCATTGAAATTTTTTAATTTTTTACCTTCTAAAAGAGCCTCCTTCATTTGCCTTGAATTACAAAAAAGTTATGTAAATAAACAGTTCTTATATTTTCAATAAAATTATAAAAGAAAATACTCACGAGTTTCCAGAGTATAGGTTTACTTGCAACACATTCTGTAAAACTTCTTTACATTTATCCATGCTGACTTGAGGAAAAAACTGCTCCATTAAATCATTAACAGTCATAAGTAATTCTGAATAAACGTGAGGTTTGGCATTAATGCAAGGAACCATTTTTCCATTAACGAGAGCTTTCTGCATCTTTACACAAAAAAATAATTAAAATAAGTTTAAAAGTTAAACTTTATCTCATGTAAATATAAAATAAAAATCTATTTACTTTAAATGGACATGGAATGTTGGTCGCTCTAACTGGCGTTTCCATGATTGGTATTAACTTATGCCAGCCATCATTGTTATTTTTAGTTTTATTTGTGGCGCCATAAAGAGATTTATCATTCTTTTTAGTATCTGCCTTTTTTTGTTGTGCCACCATTCCTTCGTATGAAACGTAAGGTGGGTAAAATGATGAAAAATTGTTCGCACCCTGAAGGTGCCCCTTGTTATTATCAGGATGACTAGTTCTTCCATCCATGACGGCATGGTTATTTTCGAGTAAATTTTTATATTTTTCTTCCAGAGTTTTGTCCATTGTTCTTGGAGTCCTATGAGGGGAGTGTGGAGGAGATGACAAGTCTATGAGTTCAGGCCTGAAAAACCGTGGTGTACTGCCATTGACCGGAATTAGAGGTGGAGGATGCTTCTGACAGTTGTTATTATTATTATGCTGAGGATTGTACGGCATGTGAGGATGAGGCATTATAGTTCTGTTCATAATGGGCAAGGTGTTTGCATGAGAAATTGTGTTGTTTATACCAGACGTACTGTATGTTCCAGACCTGTAAAAAACAAAACACAAAATTATTTAAACAAAATATCGATAATTATACAAAAGAGTAACTTTCAACTTCCAATGCATAACTGCAAAATAAAAAACTACAGAAGAGACAAACATTTTTGAGTTATAAATGTTTTTTGTTCTTTAAATTCTAAAGACTGACTTTTGTCTTCATATACAGTAAATAAACAAACTTAAAAATGCACTGCAATGCCTGACCATGTTTAATTTACATAAATGAAGCACTTCATGCAAAGAGAAAATAATGCCAATGCAATTTTCTAAATGTCCGGGGAGGGGAGAACTCACCAATCCTCCTTTGCATATGAGTGGAAACTAAAGGAGAAAAATGATAAAAGCATAAGAATTTCATTTTCATAAATCTCCTCATATCTCCAATGATCAATTCCAATTGAAAACAAATGTATAATATACAATTAATAATTAAATTGACACAACAAAGATATACTACACATTAGCAACACAGCGCTTGAGTCAATGCCATTTAAATTTTTATTTTTGTTTTTATAGTGAAGGTTTTTTTTTATTTATTTGTTAATGTTAATAGAATTAAATTGCAAATTTTAATTTTGCTAGTTAATATGCTTCTAAAGACAATTATTCTCATTTTCAGACTGAAATATTAAAAACCTAAAGAATGTTTCATAAGTATGTATTAATTTATTGGTATTTAATATTGTAATTAATTATTATTTTCATCTAAGGTTTTAATTGGAATAATTAATATAGTCAGTTATTCAGATATCGTGAGATGCGGTCGGGTGTGATGTAGGTTTCAGAAAAACATTTTCTTTATTTTTATTTTCTGAAACCTACATCACACGCGACCGCATCTCACGATATCTGAATAACGATCGATTAACGGTCACTAATCTCTACACATTAATATAGTCAATTAATTATGGTCATGAAACAAATATGGATTAATTTAATATTATCTTTAGTTTTACTTTTTGTAAACTAAATTGTGGAAAGAAAGTTGAGATGCAAAGTTAGTGTCACAAGAGGACTTGAACCCACAATTTTCAGATAGACGTCCGATGCTCTATGATGTACTGTGGCATCATCACATTCAAATGGTCTACTTAATTAGCAGGGCAAAGTTTCAATGTATGTGAATGTCACTAATAATAAATTTATTGGTTATTATTATATAATTAACTTTATTTTTACTTTTTATAGTAAACTAAATAATGCAGAGAAAGTTGAGATGAAAAGTTGTTGTCACAAGCGGGATTTGAAACCGAGACTTTTGTTTAGATACTTTGATGGTATACAATTGATCTGCTGGGATTTTTGGTCTCCCGAGACACTGACTCATCTCAACGTATAACTTATTTTGAATTCCCCTTTTCCGTCAATATTAAAAAATAAATGAATAATACATACGGAATGGATGAATTTGCAGCTGAACCCCGGAGTGTGGTTGTCGGTTGACTTACAACAGTCATAGTGTGATGGACATTCGCCTAAACGATATTTACGTTGATTAATATTTTCATAATTTAAACTATATTTTTTTTTTTTATATAGTCTATTTTTACTTACTGCACTGACACGGCTGACAGGATCTCCAAAATAAGGTTGAGATGATAATGTATATTGCATTCTATTACCACTGAACTGCCTCATTGAGTTATTTCCGGCAGATGTCTATAGCATAGATTTTAACAAATTTTTAATACATGGAAAAATAAGAAATTTTGAAAAAGTACATTTGTTTTGTGTCAGTACAATAAATAAATTTTGTTTTCTACCAAATCAGTAGGCTACATAATAAAAAAATATTAGCAATGCTGATCCAAACAATGATCAAATGTGTTATGGAATAGTAAATTTTGGATAATATCAAACAATCAACTGTTTGCTAGCAGTTAAATATTTGGTATTAATCGGTAAACAACCAACACCATCAACTTTACAAATATTGTCATCCTTTTCAATCACAAGCAAGAACATTTAACACTTATAAGTTAATAAAACCTAAAAGGTGATTGGGCGTGGAATACACAAACCCAATCTCCTTCTTCGGGATAAAACCCACTCAATTAAATCTCTCTCTCTCTCTGCACACACACACACACACACACACACACACACACACACACACACACACGCACACGCACACGCACACCACTGATTATTCATATGATTTTAAATTGAAAGTGTATAATTTTGAACCAATATGTATATTGGCAATATTGAAATTTAAGGAAAAGCTTATACATGAATAGAACTATGATTTAATTATTAGAACATCTTGCTCTGTTTTTGAAATTTAGTAGGAAACAATTACATTTTGTACGGACATTGGGTCATAAAACAAAACAGTCCAGAGTGCAGAGAAAAGTAACAATCCCAACCTTTTATTTCAAATGGTGAATCTGAAGCTTTACCATAGAATTCCACAACCAGTGGTTAAAATGTGATATTAAACTTTTTTAAATTATACTTCTACAATAGTTAAATTTAAGATATAATACTCACATTTAGCAGTTGATTTGCTGGCTGTTGTAATCTAGATGAAGGAGGTAGGTCTTGTGAATATCTAGGTTGGACAGTGGGTGGCCATCTGTTGTTAGACATTGCCACTTGAGGTGCCATTCTCGGTGTCTCTATTACGTCCTTGACGACTTGAGTATTGGAAGAAGTTGACGTAGGTGTCCCTGGAGCTTGGATCCATGAAAGCTGATTTGTCCGTGGGCCACTACTTTTAGCGGCAAATAATTGAGAAGCTTGTATTTTCGGAGGCCAGTATTCATCGAATACAGTCCCAGGTGGAAAATAGGATTTGATGTCTTGCAAACTTATCACATGACAACTATCATTAGAAAAAAGTTCATTCCGGATACCTTGAATTTTACAACAAAATTTTAAATATGCTAAATGCCAAGGTCCTAATGTTGCAGCCTTCTTCAACAAAGCTTCAGTTTCACCTTCAAAATAAAACAAGGGAACGTATTTTTCCCCATCTTTTATTGTGTAAGGAACAACCGAATCCTTGTTTATCCTAACAAAACCACATCGTTCTTTTGTATTGGAACTCATAGGATTAACTAACTTTGTATAACAAAGATCTAAAAATTCATAAAATTCACTAGCATCGCTTAACATAACAACAAGGTCCTTTGTCGTGAAATGGTCTCTTCCGAACCGTCCTTCACAATGTTTTAGGTTTATTTCTGTTAAAAGTTTTGCCTCGTGCTCTGTGATATAGTAACTCCGAATACACGTGCATGAATAAATATCAGAATTTAAGTAATTAAGATATTTGAGTAGTAGTTTCATTTCAACCATCCTAACAGCACAATACTTCTCATCTCCTCTCTGTATGTATGGTATATGTTCTCCTCCTAAAAGCACCCAACCAAATTTTCCTAAAAACCAAACAAACAAAAGTAAAATATAAGAAAAATTATGATCAAGTATCAGTGAAATGAATTATACAGCATACCTTTTTGGCTAGCGACATCTAAAGGGACTTTTTCTGCCTGGGGTGAAGGCGAAGTAGGGGGTGGTGATGTTACCGGTTTGCTATTATTTTTTTGTAAGTAGCTAAGAATACCTCCTCCACTACTACTCGGTTGACTGGGATTTACCCTGGCATGAGGTGAATTAGAGGTGGCTGCTGCAGCCGCAGCTGCAAATGCCATCCTAACTTTGTTTTGCTGAACAATCTTTGCTGCAATCTCATTGATTTCAGCATCTTCGGGCTTTTCCTCTTTTATTTTAATATCTACAAAAATGAAAAGTTTTAAATTATTATACATATTTATAAGTATATTATTTTAAGGTTGACCTAGAATACAGATTCTAAACACTTCAATATGTCAGTATTGTATTTTATTATAGGAAAATTATATAGTAAACAAGTTACTAGTAGAAAGAAGAAAGTTTTGTGAAAGAATCTCGTTTGCTTAATGGTATGTGTGAAATGTCAGAGTTAGAAGCAGGGTGAGACATGTTACTCCCCATTTTTTTAAGATGGTCTTGTTGCAGCATTACTATTCTGATTGATCAGTCAATTTTTGCTTTTAATCCACACAGTATATCAAAAGTTATTAAGTATATTATAAAGCTCTGCCTTAAGAGGAACACAGTAGCTGAGTTGTTAATGTGCAAGTCTTGGCTCATTGACCCTGTGGGTAATGGGTTCGATTATCAACAACACCCCTAAAATTTTCTTAACGCTCTTCCCTTCTTCCAAGAAATGATTACGATATACAAACTATAAACATACTCTGCCTTAGCTAATATGTAAAATCATAAAGCCATTAAAAAATAAATAAATAATTTAAAAAATTTGTTAAAAATTTCAATGAACACCTGATCAGCAAAATAATGAATAAATTTACTTTTCAAACTTGTAAAATTTCTTTAAACAGCCACCTAAATTATGTGAGGCGCTGTTACTAATCGGACCTCATATAAATCTTAAGGATATTGGATATCATTATTAAATAATCTTGGCAATTCTAAAAACCAAATTTTTCTAACCGTTAAGCTAGGTGTTTTAATGTGGCTGATAATGGTAGTATGCAAAACTCAGCTTATGCTTTCAAGTAAATCACCATCATTGATCACTAAAAAGCCCGATCAAGGTTATTATTGAAAGCTAGTGTTCTCAGCACTTAATTTACCTAAACCTAAACACTTCCCTCACATGTGTTGAGTGCATATCTGCATATAGGCACACACAGTCAATATTAAAAATATATGTGTGGTGTTTAGTGATCGTTAGTTAATGATTATTTGGAAATTGTGAGATGCGGTCTGGTGTGATGTAGGTTTTAGAAAAACATTTTCTTTATCCTGCCAACGTTTCAATCTTTATTGAGATCATCGAAACGTTGGCACGATAAAGAAAATGTTTTTCTAAAACCTACGTCACACCAGACCGCATCTCACAATCTCCAAATAATCATTAACAATATAAAGAATTACTATTTAAATAAGGATCAAATTTGTTTACACCTCCTGCCATGAATATTAACATGTATTTATCCTGTTGATAAAAAATGAAATATGAACAGAAATATAAATTATTCATTCAAATCGGCATAGTACTGTTTGACCAAATGACATGACAGATTACATCAAACTCCTGGTATCACTTTACTTAGGGAAATTTTGATTTATAAATTCAGACAAAAACACCACACAATGTCTAATTTCTTAGATTTATAAGTTGACTGATGCAGGCCACTTTTATTCATGCATCATCATTAGAGGCCATTAAACTTCAAGACTGCTATGAATTACCTTTTCACCTTTTAATTTATTATTACAGTATGTATGAAAATAGGTTTTAGTAGAGAAGGTATAATTCTGATGGCTAATGATATTTTTAGAAAAATAATTAAATAAAATTATTTTTAAGACACTAGGACTTCAAGGAAAGAACCAACTGAAGATAAAATTCTCTTAATTATCTGTTTATTCAAGCATGCCATTCAACAGAAACAATATTTAAAAAGTAATTAATTTAAAAAAAAAAAGGAAGTGAATAAAATACCCATCAAAGTTTATCAATAACAAACAAATTTCTAAAAACCATATATTTTTCAAGTGTATTATTAGGTCATATATATAATACTTTTTTTTCCTGTTAAACTAATATGAAATTTCGTTTTAGAACCTCTAGAGACCCCTAAATATAAATTTTTGTTTGATTTAAATTTATAATATTTTTCCGTTATTTTTATTCTGATTTTTGAGAAGGCATTGTCGGAAGGAATATCCTGATGATTTAAACAGCTAAAAGGATTTTAATGTAATATTATATTTGAAAGAAGAGGAACATTAACTTTAGCTTTTTAATGACATACCACTAAAATATATAAAATCTTTCCATAAGAAAATAGCAAAATTATTTTGTCAGAAATTAACTTTTTTAAATGGAAATAATAGTCTGATAGTTATAAAATGCAACAATTTCTTTAAAACAAATTTTAACCATGAAAATCGGTTCACCAGGTTTTGAGGAAAATGATGTTAAAGCTTGCACTAGGACTGTCAGTCAGGCTGAAAGGTCGTATTGGTAAGGTAAGTACTAATTAATTTAGTAGTAAAAATCACTGATTTCTGTAAAAGTCTGTATCTAAGGGTTTTATAACGCTAGACTCAGGAATCTGACAATGAGGTCAAGTTTTGACCATTTTCTGACCTACTTTGAAATAATGTTTATTAAAATATGCAAAAAAGCAGTTTTATTGATTTATTTTCTAAATCATTCCAAATTAGAATATTCTGTGTCTTAATCATAGAGCGTTTTTATCTTAATCAACAATGAAATTAATATGCCAAAAATTAAGTTTTTGAAAATCTCTAAATAACAATTTATGCTCATTTAATTAAGACTAAAATTAGATTTTTAAAAAAGCTTTATTAACCCGATAAGTTCAATTTATTAAGAATTCCCTTAAGTCTATTTATAATGAACACTGTATCGGAAAAGTCTTGTTGACAAGTGAGAGTAATTAATTCCATAAATAACCCCATTATTGTTAAATAGCTCGTTCCTCTTCTTTCAAATGGTATGTTTGATGATGATGGATATATGATCAGCTACTATTCACAAAATATTTAGTGGGATGTGATCCAATGAATGTTGTATGCCAAGCTTTCAGCGTTTTATTTCACCTTTCCTCAAGGCTCTCCAATGAATATACAAACATATATTTTTTTATTTTTTATAAATCACTAAGTGAAAAAAGATGGAACAAGTTTATTGTTGATTTCACTGACAAAGCTGAGTAATTTAAATTTTTTTTTATATACATGTGTTTGTGTACCAGTTGGAGAGCCCTGAGGAAGGTGAAATAAAACACCGAAAGCTTGGCATAGTTTTAACATACAACATTCATTGGACCACATCCCAGATACCACCACCGATGGTGTGGGTATGTTTGATGTTAAAAGCCTTTCAGTTGTTTTTGAATCATAGACGTTTTAATCAGATAGTGACTCAAAAATCGGAAAAATGTTAAGGTCAAAAAAATCCAAAACTTTAAATTCAAGTAAACATTTATATTTAAGGGTCTTTACAGGAGCTACAATGAAATTTCATGAGTTTAATAAATAAAAAATAGACCAGCTTACTTGAAAAATATTTGGTTTTTATAAAATTTTCGGTTACTGATAAACTCTGATAGCTTTTACTATATTTTTATTCCAATCCACATTAAAAATGCTGAAAAATGTTATATTCACATAGATAATTTGAGCAAATAGAAAAGCAAAATAAAAGTTGGTGAAACCTGGGCTTAGCTTAATAACAAAAAGTGGTGTATGCATGTTCGATATTTTGGAGGGTAGAATCATTAAAAAAAAAAAAAAAAAGAGAAAAAGAAGAAGTTTGGGCCAAATTCGTGACCCACCAAATTGGTTGTCCCCTTGCTATAGTTATGTTATAAAAACAGTACATGTTGGAGCGTGAGTAGGAATACCACTTAAGCTTGGGATCTTTGGAACCCTGTTCAACTGTTTGCTGTGAAAAGTATAATTCTAATTAAATTTAAGAATTTCTAAACAATTTTTATTATCTAAAAGATTTTTTTTAATATGAAAATTAATATTCTTTAACTACTACTTGATGTAAAAAAGTTGTATTACCTACAAGTTTATTTTGAAGAAATTTTTTTGACAAAAATGAAATTAGCCATAGATTACAAAATCTATGATTAATTCATTAATAATGAATGACTCTCTTAATAATTACATTTTCTAGCTTTTTATAAGTTACACGATGAAAGTAAATTTTAACTGGTATAGGATGTGCACAAATGGGTGCCTACCAAACACACTTTTTTGGTTAAAGTCAATAATTCAAGGTGTATTCAGGCACTATGTGTTACATTGAATCAATTTCGTTTAGATTCACTGAATGTGAAGATAATATCCACTGTGAATATTATCTATCTCTACATTCATTCAAAAATGCTTTTCAATTATTTTTACAAAACAGTAAACTTAAAAGTATTTCCTCTGTGGTTAGACCATCCTAAAAGGTAGTCGAGGACCAAGATCTTCTGGGACAATTGGACAACATTCTGCTACCTCTTTGAAACCTTTATCATTAATTTATTTTTTAACATTTTTATCGCTTCTAATTGCAGTTGTGCAGACATGCAGAAAATGCATATAATGAAAACACTAGCAAGTGTGGTATTTGTTCATCAAAACCCCCAACTTAATGAAAAAATCCCTTAATCTAATAAAATGTCTGTACTAATTTTGCAAAACAGGAAATTTTACAATAATTGCGTTAAAATGTCTTGCATATTTACTAATAATAATTATAGTGTGGAGATGTAGCACACAGAAAATCAATTTTTATTATAAAGTACATGTATATGAAGCATGAAAAACGAAGGAGGAATGCTGATACTTATTGAGCACAAAAGCAATTTTTTCTGATTTTTTAAGAAAATACATGGGTCGTACTGCATAAAGTTGTTATGTTCAATAATTGCATTGTGCAATTGAAAGTAATCATTAGCAGAGGAATGATGGCTGAGTACTGAGTAACCATTGATCCTGACTAGTACTGTTTACTGTAGGGTGATGTAGGAATCACCATACTATCACCCTATTTGATTGAATTATATACATACAAGAAAAAATGTATTTTTGGCCCCATTCAAAGCCGTTATTTGAGCTAAATAGAACTCACCCTAGGATTAATTTAGCTCAAATAACAGCTGGGACGAGGGATGTGGCCCAAAATGCATATGC